CCCGTCTTACACCGTGCCGTATACGCACCAATTGACCATCACCGGCATGCAATGTCATTACAACGACGTGCACGCACAGTTCGCTGAGACGTTTGATCCATATACCGACGTCTTCTTCCTCTTCATGCCTGGTCTTGGCTTCCCGACGCCCAACCCCGATGCTGTGGATCCCACAACGGGCGAGCCCCTCTTACAGTCCCAATCGCCAACCGAATGGGGACCCGCGCTCCCTGCGATCCTCGCTTCGAAATGTCCCGTCTTCGTGACGGGCTTCTCCCCGACGGACGTCGAGCGGGATGTGCGCAGTTTGTCTCGGACGCCTGGTGTGGCGGGCGAGTTCGACTGGGTGCTTACACCCGGAGAGAACGCGTTCGGGAGTTTGAAGTGGGAGGTCGCGGACTTCGATCCACGGGTCATGATCAAGACCAATTGGGGCGTGTGGGGCATCAGAGGAAAGAGGAGGGACGTGCAGGAGAGGGGCAGGTTCTTTGGGCTCTTCTAGTGACTGCTTGACATACTCTATATCAACTTATATTGCATCACCACTGCTTACTGCTGCTATTACGCATAGATGTTGGTCTCCGATATCTGACTGGTGTTTGTCATAAGGCATCTGCGAATATGCATAGTATGGCATCACGAGATTATCACTATCCTTCCCGAAGCTTCGTTCATACCTGGCACAGGCGCGGGAGATATCTCCCCCAACTCGAATGTGTCACGTTCCAACAATTTGGTCCGGTGGACAGGCATTCTCATCCTGCGGGGTCGTCGCGTGAGCGGAGTCCACTCAACCAGCGTACGAGACTTACGTCCAGGCGATTCTGCCGCTGGTGTACTGGGTCAAGTCGCGGTGAAAACGCGTCGATCCGATAGCCCTGAGGGTATCTATGTCAGCATTGTGTTGAACCGAGAACGAAAAGCTGAACTTGCATCATCACGACTAGGGGTACAGCGATCGGTTCAGGATGAGCAATGGTAGCAATGTTCGAACGGGAGAACTTGCCTGCGGGCACCACAAAGATCTGTTTGTCGAGCAAACGTCAGAACCTTGATCAAGTTCGGCCCAAAGGAAAGAGGCATACCGCGTTCATAATCTCTGCTCCGCGATGAAAGCTTCATGAGCTCTGTCACTGACAGCGACAGAGTGGAGGACTAACCGTTGAGGTTCAGTAGAAGGAAGACCTGTGGACGCGTAAGATGACAATGGCACGAGCGAGCGGTGGATAGCGTAGTTGCTTGCCATCAACGGGACTTCCACCATAACAGCAAGCACGAAGTATAATAACCCCTGCGGTATACGTCTCAATCAACCGTCTACCCCAGAATCGCACAGTATGAGACTTCACTTGATTCCAAAGAATGGACCACAAGGGGAACTTATACGTTCCTCCCCAGCCTCTTTGGAGGCCTATGAGGATGAAGGTGAGTAGAGTGAGATCTCCGCAGAAGACGGAGATAGAGATGGCTCGATCTTGAATGGCGCTGTTGAGCGTGCATTGTCCTATATTTGGATCGAAGGTGGAAGAGAACTGATGCGACGCGAATGGTTCAGCTGAAACTACGACAGATAGGGACTGGGCCCACCAGAACGACCGCTGTAATGAATGATCATGTGATGAGCAAAAGCGCGCAAGCCGCTTCATTTGCTTTAGACAACTCACTTCGAATACCTGTAGCGAAGATTGCTACTAGGAACGGGGAAAGCAGTGCGACGATCCATGTGTTCCATCTCCATATGATTCCACTGGGTTCGAAGGGGATTCAGCCACAGAGCCGCAAGTGGCGTGATGAATCACTCACGCGCGCACGAAGAGCAAGGACGAAGCGCACGCAATCCCGATGACTGCGGAGAACTGTACACCGGCGTCAAGGTTGCCGCTCAGCAGCAGGGACGGTGCTCATAGATGTACCGAATATGCCCTCAGAAGCGCCTGTTTCAAAGGATGAATTAGGTCTCAAAGGAGGTAGAGGCCGAAGCTAGCTCACCTGGCAAGAGATCGTCGTGTTGCCGCTTGTGAGTACGCACGAGCAGATAGCATTCATCAGGGCTAGGTATCGGCAGACGAGGTACAGCTTGTCACAATGAGTAGTCGTCTTTCATCATAACTTGGAGGACCACATACGGTGTTGCCGACCAGGGCAGTAGGCCGTCCTCGGATCCGCTTCAGAACCTCCCAGTCATATGGCAGAGACAGTATAAACTCGTAGCTAGAAGAGGCCCGTCAGTACGCATACGCATGAGGACAAGGTGAGGAGCGTACAAGTATATCCCGCTGAATATCAAAGTTACTCTTTGCAGAGATGCTGTAAGGGTGTCACGGAGCAGTCTAAGACTAGGCGGGGCCTGTTCTGAACACTGTACCTGTCTGGAGGAACAGAGTGTGGGGATCTGTCCAGTTGACCATGAGGGGCGGCGACCGTCAGAGCTGTATCGCGTTGCCGGCGCTCTGGTCAGAGCGCCTTATAAGACGGGAAGCGTGGCGATATCGGCAAACCTGATCTGTCGTATCATCATCCGTCAAAGGCAAACTTGGGCGTCACTGTCCCGGACCGAAGGCGTTATGTGATGTGATCCCTGGCGTAGCGCGCTAGCAGGACGACCGACTGAAGACGGCCATGACACGACATTATCCCGCCGGGGATTGCCTACCAGTTACACCTCCCCGCGGGCCGCGACGCTTTGAGCCATCATTGTGATGTTCGTGACGTAGTATTCCAGCGTCCAAGACTTGTGCGAGTGCTTGCACTCAATGATGACAGACGGATGGGCTTGCGCTTGAGAAGCCCTGAGTCCGCTGTTCAAGGTGCCATCATGATACAAGCGCTGGAGTCGCCGCGAAGGCCGATTCTCAGGAAGACCATCAAAGACTACGTCCATGCGCTAAACTTTGCAGTAAGTTGCGTTGCCTGTCATATCTGGATGGAGAGGATAGATATGATCCCTTCAGACCGCAAGATGACGACGATAGTCTATGATGATTCGGGTTGCTGGTGGCGCTGAAGAGTTCGAGTGTAGTCAGACCTATAAATTCTCGGTAAGATGATACAGGCATTGATAGACATCTTGGATGAGCACATGAGCACAACATTCCTACAGGTACGATGATTCTCGAATGATGCCCTGACGATTAATATGGAGCTCCTGTGTTGGGGCGGATGCCAGAAGCCCATGTTGAGACGCGCGCACAGTAAGGTTTGGAACAGATATGGTATCGAATGGCACCCTTACTTGGGGTTACTCATGCCAGGAGAGAGTGTGCAGCCATGAGCATTTACTTTCAGGAAGCCACTCTTGCGAGAGCGTTCGACGTGCAACACGCATGAAGGCAGAAAACAAACAGGAGCGCGACGAATTTAGCCACCTTCACGTGATCGCGTTGATATCCGCGCCGGCCCGCTTCCACGAGAGCCCTGCGTTGACGCCGTCCGATGCTCCGTGATGACATAGGCGGGCTGGTCTCGAGGGATGTTTTCCTCTCTCTGGGTTTTACTCGCACATACATGTGTGAAGTCAAGCGTACTGGCTCTATTGTTCTGGACCTGCTTCGGAAGTACTACACGAGGGCGGCGATTACAGTTTACGATTTCCGTGGGTTGTGCGCAGACCGCGAGGCCTACCTGGTCATATCCGAATGTACAATGCAACTCACCCGTGATGATATCCCTCGCTCTATTGCTGTTCCGCATGAAGAGCTCGGCATGCACTCGCAAAGTGAACTGGTGATGATCATCACCGAAGCACCGAGCAACCCACCCTCGAAACACACATTCAGTGCGCGCATGGGTCACGATCCCCCGGCGCTCGGCAACTATCAGGCCTACCCGGCTGGTTAGGGTTTGGGCAAGACAGCACGCGCGACGTACGGTCAAAGCGCAAACGTCCCAGCAGGGTGGCTTTGGAAACCTTCACCGCCATCATATACAGCATCGTCATGTAGCCCTGCATGGCTTGCAGTGATCCGAAGCAGGCGGCCAGCGTCGGGTGAGCGCATACTAATAATAATATGAAATGCCGCTCTTCATCAGCAAGTACGCTGGAAGATGAGCGGAAGGTCCACGGACTATTGGAGCACCCAGCATCGAGGCTGTTCATAGCCAATATTATCGCGGCATATCACACCCGTTCGTGATCCTGGACCATATTCTGGGGCCACTTGACCAGAGCTCTCATTCAAACGACACGCACGATCGTCTCTCGGTATTCACTTCCTTTGCCTTTTGCCTGTGCATCATCATCGCATGCGCACCGGAGTGCTAACACCGAGCCGATACCTCACCACCCTAAACTGTCAAGGACTCGCGGGATGCCGCTGGAAATTGTATAAAAGCCTGGCTGCAGAGAGCTCTACCTTCTTCAGCACAGCAACTCCAGCCAGCTCTACCACCACCAACCAGTCTTCACGCTCATCCTCACTCAAACAACCATGTACTTCAAGCTCTTCGCTGTCGTCGCCGCCCTCGCTGCCGTCGTTGCGGCCAACCCTGCTCCCGCTGAGGCTCTCGACTGTGTACGTCTCTCACGACAACGTCCCGTCTCCTCTAGTGACCTCGTGCTGACGATGAGATGTGTAGGTCACCGTCGAGTTCCCCGCGACGTGCCCCAGTGACCACCCCCTTAACTGCAACGGTGCTGGCGGCATCACCCTCTGCTGCACTGTAAGTCGAGCTCATCGTTAGCATCCACGATTACACCGTGCTCAACCTTCCTATAGTCCTGCACGTAAAGGAGGGGATCTTCGCGGGACGGATGAAGGGATAATCCGCGCGACCCGTTCATGAACTTGATGCGCCCCCCTGATGACTCTACCGATGTAAATTGTAAACCTTTATGATGATCAAGCTCCGTAGTGGATAAGAACGTCTAAGCTATGATCCTAAGCTTGCATACCCTTGCTCGTGCGCTAGACCCGTAAGCAGGAGAACCGAGTAGGAAGCCTGTCACGGCGCGAAACGTCCTCGGGAAGTGGGACAGAGACGACAACGCATTCTCGTCGTCTGCGGTCGGAGGGCTCGGAATGCACGCTTGTATCATCTTAGTGTGTGTATAGGATACGACGCATGGATCGGTCGAGGCAAGGTCATGTGAAGCTCGACGGTCGGGGTTTGGGGCGCAGAGTGCGGGGAGTTGACCATTCCCGGCAGGCTGCAGCGACACTGCTACGAGACGTGAACGGGAGTACGGTTCGCGACGGAGTCCCAACCTCGACAGAGTACAGCACCATGGCGCATGGGCGTGCAGGGAGTATGATTGGTCGAGGAGGAAAGAGGCGCGAGCGTACCCCAGTATTGCGTGCTAGCACGAGGATTGCTTGCACCTAGGGACATATTGAGTGCATGGGCGTGCCGTTCAACTCTCAGATGAAGGTTTCGACTGTGAATGAGGAAACTCCATTAGATCAGAGACTCCCCCGAGTCTCGGCAGACGAGGTTCCTGAATTGAATTCCCATTTGGTACCGTACGCGCTTCGAGCGACTACCACAAAGATGCCTGCAAGAAAGAAAGAGAAAGCACCCAACACCGTCCCAGACAGTTATCGGCCTGCGGATCGACGCAATGCTGAGACTTAGGAAAGTACGAGCTGCCCGACGCTGCTCAGAGCGCCGCTGTCGTCATAAAGACAACTGCTCGTGTCGACATCCGCCCCACCGCTATTCGCCTGGGCTAGACTCGGGCTGGTGGCAACGAATGGGAAGTACAACGTCACGTAGTCTTGACTGTCCAGCCATTGGAAGGCTTGCTGGAAGAATGCCGTTTGATCGGAGGCGCCGTTGGTGGGATTCGAAAGGGCGAACTCCGTGATGACGATGTTGGTCGAGGGGAACATTGCGCGGGCGTTCTCAACGTGCGACTGGAAGTCCGAGAAGGTGTTGCCGTACCAGTGCTATGAAGCAAGGCGTGGTCAGCTCGGACTTTGCGGTAGAGGCCAGAGCGGGAGAGGCGCACAAGGTTGATGTAGTCATATTGGCAAGCCCCAGCGCACGCGGAGATCATCTGCGAGAGCCAGTCGAGACCTTCGCCACAGGATGTGCTGGATGTCACGGCCGGGAGCGCCTTGCGAATGTTAAGAGGGTTGATGTTGGTCTTGTACCAGTTAGCCGCGTCGGAAGGTGACACTGGGGGATCGTATAAGCACTCTGCGAAATGAGGACTTGGAAGGAAAGGCGACTTGCTGGCACTGCTACCCGGGATATCCGGCTCATTGACGCTGAAGACGGCTGTGTGCATAGTTCCGTTTAGTATTTCGTGCAGGATAGTGGTAGAAGAACCCACTGGTCCATCCCTGCTCAGACGCGCGGCTCTGTAGAGCCGAGAGCGGCGAGCTGTCGCAGTCTTGGCATCCTTGCATGCCGATGAATTCGAGGCCGCCAGTACCGTCCGTGGAGGGGGGCTGGTACTATGATGCGGATGCGTCATGTGAGCAAGCGCAAGCTCCGACTGATGACGAGACCATACAGTTTCCCAATCATATCTAGATGAAGGCATCAGCGTAAGGGTCGATGGGTTGTGAGAGAGGGTAACACCCACATGGCTACAACTTGGCCGCTACCGGCGAAAACGGCCGGGTTGAGAGGTGCGTTATCTGTGTATTGTCATCGTTAGTCCTGAAAAGAGATGAGGGAGATGGATAAGGACTCACACCATGGCCACGCAAGGCCTCTCTTCCCGGCGTAAGCGGTGGAGAACAGAAGCGAAAGGGTGACGAAAGACGGGGCAAGAGCAAGCATCGCGAAACGGGCAGTTGGAAAAGAGCGTGAGGGAGAAACGAGTGACGTTCAGCTGCAGACAGGCAAGCCGGGGGATGCGAGATGGAGACCCGAGCAAGCAAACCGCCTCTTATACAGTCTCTGCATCCCGCTGTTGAACATCACACGCTCTGACATGTCAAAGTCCTTGGAGACCGCGATTTTGCGCCCGACAACGCGTGTGATGTTCCCTGAAGATCGGGCAACGTGCCGACCTATTCGAGCAAGTCGACTTGTTTATGGAGACATCTGTCAAGATCGCGAGAATACAATGTCAGGAATAGGTCGCGGGCGGCTTATGGCCGCCAGTCGTTGCTGTTGTGGACTGATTGAGCGAGCAAGGAGACGAGCGCTCGCGTCATCAGATGGCCTCTCGCGACGTGGACGTAGCCAAGACACGAATTGACCTGTCAGTTGGCTTCCATTATATTGTGCACGCTTGAGAGCGCCATGGCGTATCGCGCAGACGTAGCCCATGAGAGCAGGAGCGAACGAGCACTCGCGCTCGGGCAAGGCTCGGTAGCAACGAAGCGTGAGAACTCATATCCAGATCGGGAGCGCGTGTACGCAGTTGCGGCACCGGCGCCGTGCGCAACAGATGACGACTTCCGGCGCGCCTACAGCAACTGCACCTCTCAAGCGAACGGCCACCATGGCTGACCCCGACCGAGAGCCTAGGGCCTCGACAGACCAAGGTAATCAGCAATAGCGACTTCTATGCTTCTCAGATACTGAAATAAGTAATCAGAAACGGCGCCGTTGCTCGAGAATGAGCAACCGACGTCCTCCAAGCTCGGGGACCTCCTACACGAGCCACTGACGCCCTTGACCCAACTACTATTGATTCTGACACTGTTCTTCCTCATCGTCTCGTCTATCTTCATTGGTTTATTCGCTGGAGCCGAGACTCGGCTAAAGGCTACGCCCGAGGGTGGGTCTGTGACTGTTACGAGTACGATTACTGTGCCGACGACTATAATTGCTACGACGGCCGTACCCGCTCCAGGCCCCACTGCACCTCCCGAGAAGGTATATCACCTACTGCTTCTGCGCACCATATTCCTAATGCTGACTCACGTGCGCGTATAGCCTGCATCGTGCCTCACCGCCGACTGCGTCAAGCTCGCTGCGAGCCTACTCGAGAGCATGGACACGACCCAGGACCCGTGCGAGAACTTCTACGACTATGCAGCTGGCGGATGGCTCAGGTCACACCCCCTTCCGGCCGATAAGGGCCGCTATGGACAGTTCGCGTCGTTATCGAACGAGAACTTGGCCATTGTACGCGACATTCTTGACGCCGAGTCACCGAGCGCATTGGCGGAGACCGCGCTCGTGGCGGACGATGAGAAGAGGCTACTGAACAAGTTGCGGGACTTGTACGAGAGCTGCATGGACGAGGATACGCTTGCTAAGTTTGGTGACCTGCCACTTCGCGAAGTCGTGCGGACCGTGCGTCGCCTCTTCCGCCAGGAGGGGACGAAGATATATGCCACCGGCGAGGAAGGCGAAGCAGGCAAACGCCGCAAGGGTCTGAGCGCCGCACTCGCGTACTTGCACTCCAAGGGCATCACCGCTCTCTTCGACTTGGGCATTGACGGCGACGCCGCAGTCGACCCCAACCACATGGTGCTCTGGTTCAACCAGCCGTTCAGCTTTGGCTTGCCGAGCAAGGAGTACTTTGAAGATGAGGACATGCGCGACTTGTACGAGGATGTGCTGAAGGACCTCTTGGAGGCTCTTGAGGAGAAGGAAGAGGACGTCGTCGATGACGAGTGGGTGTTGGTCAAGAGGGACGAGAAGAAGCAGGCTGTATTGGACATCGAGGAGACGGAGGAGACGGTCAAGTCTTGGCCTCCGTGGCCCTGGCCGCCATGGGACGGCGACGACGACGGTGACAAGCCGCACAAGCCGTCGCCTCCCACGCCCGCAAAGCTCGCAGCGAACGTTGTGGCCTTCGAGCGCAAACTCGCAAACGCGACACTGGACCTTGACAAGCTCACTCAAGACCCCTTCGGAACGTACAACAAGATCCCGCTCTCCAACATCTCGTCTACACTCAATCAGCTCGACTTCGGCGGCTACCTCGCGTCGTTCAACCCGCGCAACTTCCCCGAGTTCGCCATCGTCACGTATCCGCCATTCATCTCGAGCTTGAGCCAGCTTTTGGACGATGTCGATAAGGACACTCTCGAGGCTTACCTCACGACCCGCCCGATGCTGGCGCTTGCGAGCCGCCTAAGCACTGAGACTGCCGCATGGAAGGCAAAGCGCCGTCTCACGGAGACGTTGCAGGGTATCAAGCCCGGCGCGTTGCCCGACCGCGCTGAGTACTGTGTCGAAGCCGTCGACTCTGCCCTCGGTTTCGGCGCAGGCCACTTCTTCGTGAGCGAGACATTCTCACCCGACGCTCGTGCGCGCGGCGAACATATCATCTCGAGCATCATCGAGAGCTTCAAGACAAGCCTCAAGAGCGTTGAGTGGATGGACAAGGAGAGCGCGAAGAAGGCTGGGGAGAAGGCTGATAAGCTGAGGATCAAGGTCGGATACCCGACGAGCCCGGACACGTTAAGCGCGCGGGCTCTCCTCAACTACTATTCGTTGGTGAAGGTGGATGAGAGGACATACTTCGACAACATGCTCTCTGCCGAGTAAGCACACCTCCCTCGTCTCTGCATGCATTCATCATTGATTGACCCGTATGCTTTTAGTGCCAGCGAAGTATACAAGATGTGGCAAACACTCGGCAAAGCACGCGATCTCGCCGCCTGGGAGATGACGCCCGCAACTGTGAACGCATACTACAACCCACCCGCAAACGAGCTCGTTTTCCCCGCCGGCATCATGCGCCCACCGTTCTTCCACCTCTCCTGGCCTTCGTACCTCCAGTACGGCGCCTTCGGCATGGTTGCCTCGCACGAGCTTACACACGCGTTCGACTCGAGCGGAAGGATGTACAACCAGGACGGCAAGCTCGAGGAGTGGTGGAGCAACAGCACGAGCGAGGCGTTCAACGGAAAGCAGAAGTGTATCGAGCAGCAGTACGGGAACTATACGGTCATCGGGCCCGACGGGAAGGTCGAGCACGTCAACGGCCTGCTCACTGCCGGCGAGAACATCGGCGATTCCGGTATCATCCAGTCGCTCCGCGCATGGCGCGCGGAGTTCAACGCGTCTTTGGAGGCCGGGAACGAGTACACTTTGCCTGGTCTGGACCACCTTACGAGGGAACAGCTGTTCTTCGTCGCATCTGGCAGGCAGTGGGCTGAGAGTATCAAGCCGGCGAGCTTGGTGCAGAGGGTTAGGACCGACCCGCATAGTCCAAACCGATTCCGCGTTGAGGGGACGTTAAGGAACGTGAAGGAGTTTGCGGAGGCTTGGGGGTGTCCTGTTGGGAGCAAGGTACGCCTCTCTATCTTTGACCATACAGTGGACTCGAGAGCTGACTTTGGATGCAGATGAACCCACCCGACGAGGAGAGGTGCTTGCTTTGGAGCTGAGCGTCGGAACGGTTGGACTCTGGGCTGCTTTGAGAATCGATGTATGCTATTGGAGTGGATTCTGGTACCGGGATGTGTACACATACACGATAGTGGACCGCGATGTGCAAGTGACCAGCTATCTATTGAACGGTCCAGCCGAGTGCTCCGCGCCCAGCGTCTCCAACGCTCAGTCATGCTCTCCCAGCCTCAACACGCTCACCAGCTAGGCCACGTTCAATTGTTAAAGCAAGTCACTCTACGTGTGGCATTATTCGAATCTTCCCGAGACCTTTATGGACCTGGCCCGCCGCGCTCGAGTCCTCCGTGCAACATGCGCAAGTTCAAGTTTTTATTGAACAGTGGACATCATCGGGCATCTCAGCGATCATTGGCGGACCCGATACAGCGAGCGAACAACTTGAAGCCGCCATTCCCGTCATACACTCTGCACTCTCCACCCTTGCCTGGCGCAACAGCACAGCTGGTTTGACGATGGTCGAGAATCTGGGACACGAATTCCATTATCTAATATATACAGCGAATCCAGGTTCATTATACGTGCAGCTTCCCAACATACACTGCGCCGATGTCGCGTAAGCGCGCGGCATCATTCCCACTCCTTCACGCGTATGTCGGCGTCCGAGGCCTCCATCTCGAGGATGGAGATAGTCTCTGGCGTACGAGGTTGCAGAACAAACTTGAAGATGGGCGGAGCTCTGGACAGCCCATCGCTGATGCATTCGTGCGAGTCGGGAGGAGGAGCGCCAGGGAAAGGCAAAACATCGAATGCCCACAGCAAACTATATGCATATCAACTTCGTGTCTGACCCACGAGAATCTTACGCACCGACTTATGACTATGAACAGTGACTGCGACGCGACATGCATCCCTGGACAAAGGCGACGTCCAAAACCAAATGGCAACGTGAAATCGCGCAAGCGGGGATCCAGGGGAAGATCCCCCGCGGGCAAGAAGCGCTCAGGTCGAAATACGTCTGGATCGGGGAACAGCTCGCTATCCTGCATCATCGTGCTAGAGGATAGGCATCAGTTGGGTAATGGACAGTGCACAACGGACGTACTAGATGTTCGCATAGACCGTAGTACCCTTTGGTATGAAGGATCCTTCGAAAACATCGTCGCGCGATGTAGCGTGAGGGACCGCAAGCGGGGCAATGGGGCGCCAACGCTCAACCTCCTTGATCCATGCACAGACATACGGCAAAGATCCCAGGTCTGCGAACGTGGGTAGACGATCTTTGCCGATCACCTCGTCGAGCTCTTGTTGCGCTTTGCGCGCGGACTCTGGGTATAGCAACGCTGCGACTGTGAAGTAGGTGATTAGGCGTGATCTGATACCTATTGATCTCACATACAGATTGCGTATTGAATGCTTCCAGCAGTCTGTAGGAGGGCTCTATCATCTGGGTGAAGCGGTGCAGGGGCGAAGGACTTACGGTGTGAAGTCCAGCCCCGAAAGGCGCGGCAACGAAGTATGATAACTCCGTTTGCGTTAAGCCACTATCTGTGTCAGCAAGGGCTCGAGATGTCATGCTCTCCTTATGAGTACCAGCAGATATCCTCTGTCGGACGTCGTCTACCATTGACTGGTAGAACTGCACGTCATCGGCGAACATGGCGTCGTATTTCCAACGGAACCACTGCAAGGCACGCTGGCAAGAAAGTCAAGGATTGGGGTCAGCAGCTCACGGACGATACTCACAGGCAATCGTAAGAGAGCAGGAAACTGAAAACTCTTGAGTCCCGAGACAGATGTCGAGTGAGCTGCGAAGCGTACCATGTCAACTATGTTCTTCCCGGGAATACTGTCAAAGAAGACGTGAGATTGGCACATTGGTTGGTAGGAAGATCTGTTCACGTAGCCCTACACTCCTGTCAGTGGATGATATCATGTGGAGAAGAGGTCACCAACTGCAAGAAGACTAGAGATGTGCATCAGTCACATGTCCTTCAAACCCTTGTTAGAGCACTCACCTTGGGCGGTCTTAACTTGGTAAGCCACGACATGGTCCTCGATGCTGCTCACGCGCCGACCGTATGAGATTGAGAGTACCACGGACGCGGCGAACCTGGAAGACCGTGAGCACATAGCAGCAGCTAAGGTTCGACAAGCATGTCAAGGTCACCTCAGAATTGCCTCACGGTACTGGCTAGTGTCGCGCGCGAGATCCCGCAGAAGGATAGCGGCCTCGAGAGTCTGGTGATCTCGGTATACGAGCGCTTGGCGAGCACTCATCCCGTCGTGTTGTACCTGAACGGTCAGTCGTCAGACCACGTTCTGACTGCCCATAGATCAGCAACGTTGACCTTCCGCCACTTCTTCCAATGTTCATTATACGATGAGCTGAGGCCTCTCAATCCGCCGGACAAGATCTCGTGTCTAAGCGCGGTCAGCATAGTGCATAGTATGAGCGATGCAGTACGGTGACTGACGCAGTGACAAGACGGGGGCGGTTGGAGTAGCTTTCTCCGCGCTTCTCTAGCAGTTGCCAGCCGAGTGACGCAGAGCTCAGCACTGCATATGCTCAGCATCTGAGAGCGGGGGCTGCTAGAGTTACATACCGACGACTGGAGTTCCACGCAGGTTGAAGGAGAAGATAGGACCTAGGCAAGTCGTGAGAAGCGATCCTAAACAAAGCATCGCAGTTGGGTACGAACCATGGCGTTTGGCTAGGGCATCGAATACCTCCCAAGATCCCCGTTTCTCCGAAGTCGCCTTTCGAAGAGCCTTGATAACCTTCTCTCCGTCGACCAAAGTAGGTAGTCTGGAGAACTTGCGTCGGTGGTAGAGATATGTCGACCCCGCGATGGCCAGAACTGCGAGAACCACTGAAAGGGAGGGAAACGCCATGCTGAGCGAAGAAGCCCGGAGCCAGCACATTAAGTATCGCTACTCACAGGGGAATCACGTTTGGGGCGCTCTGAGCTTACTCTCCGGGCTCGAAGGCGACGGGTTTGGTTTGGTCCGTCATGATCGCGAGCAACCAGCCTGCAAACCCGAAGCAGTGTCTCCCTGCCTTCTGAGAGCGCTAGCCTCATCCTTCTTGTCTAGGGAGCCTGAAGGGAAGTATGCCTCGGGCCAACTGCTGGCAGCGAGTGACGATACCGTTCTATCGTGTGGCACTCTTTGGAGCCAAACCCAAAGGACGTGGCTCTATGGACGATGCGTAGGAACGAGTGCTCCTTCCCCACTGCTAGTACGCCGCACCGCGATGCCCGAGCCGATTGTGTCGCCGGACCTTATATGATGCTCGCGTAAATCAATCGGGCAGTTGTAGGCTGGGCGGTCAAGATAGTGGCTCGCATGCATAAGTATGCGACCTGACGCTGGCGAAGATCAGAGGAGAGGAAGGTCGATGATCATGAGAAGCGGAAAGGGAGTTGCAGGACTTTTATTGGTTGACGCGCAGCTTGGGGATCCCCGCGTGCGTAAGCAGTTCGTGTCAGTCCCAGAAGGCATTATCGTATCGTATGGCAGTCCTTTGAGAAAACAAAATATGAGCCCCTTGGTGAACGCATGGAGGAGGAACTGAACGTGACGTGCCGGGAGCGGAAGAGTAGCGCTCGGGTATGTCCGAAGGGTGGACACGATCACGCGCCTTTCGTTTGCGATGAGATCTGGGCGTAGCGGGCACCTTGTGCAGTTTCCGCCATCATTCCGCTTTCCATTCACGTAGTCATTCGAGCCATTACAGGCCAGTACTCTCGTGACATTCCACCCACAGTCACTTGTTAACATCATTTCCGGGCAGCTGCAGTCGTCCTAAGTAGATGTCTGGCAGCCCGTTGACCCCATTCCGGAATCTACGGTATGTATTCCAGGCTGCGTCTTTCGCCCATCTCGGTTGAGCTGACGATAATGAAGAAGGAACACCCGATACTCAGCATACTCAGCGTGATTCAACCCCGGCTGCCATGGATAGACAGAGATGCGTCTATGATCTGCGAAGAGTCTGACTGACGCTGCAGGCACCCCACATGGACGGGCGTCGATGTCTATCGCTCTTGTCACTGCACGCATCTCGTGGAGAGGAAGCTCCAAGGCGCAGAGCCGGACTGTATATGAGAACTTCGTCCAGCAGACAAGCAAGCCTCACATATCTCACAGACTGGCTTTGAACGCCTTGAACATATACCATGTACGCTGGTCTTTTTCCTTCATCATCGACGCAGGATTTCGATGAATGCCGACTCCGCCCAATCCCCACTCTAGAATTCCGACTACTCTGGGTCACACCTTGGACGTTGGAAAAGAGTAAATGCCGTATCGTGTAGGACATCAGTGCTTGTGCAGTCAGTAGTCGCAACAATTCCCATCGGTGCAAATACCCATGTAGAGCTATCTTCATGAGTGTCTGTCTAAGCTGGCAGCGTACATGAAACGGAGAGCACCAGCGGCCTGGCCGCCATCTACCACCCCGAGTTCGGGCGAGCGAGCCACCAGTTACTTTCGCGTGACGTCACGCGAGCGATGGATGCGTCTGGACCGCGCCTCGCAGGTCGCTTCGGACGCCCTGTACCCTGTCGCCTGCGTACTGTTCCCAGCCGCAGTCGAAGGGCAAGCCGTAGAGTTCTCATAGATCATGGCTATGCATAGAACTACTTTACGGTATCAGTACAGCACAAGAGAAACCGGATATTATGCACAGTAGAAGAGGGTCATATAAACGAGATAATCGTCCGTAGCCGAACACCAGCCAGGAAACGTACAGTAGTCGCTTGCAAGACACAGGAAATGCCATACATCGGTGACACCAAGATATTGTCTATCCTTGCATGCTTCGCTCGAACCGCTCGAGATGATCGGCCACCGCCTCGGCCTCGATGCGCCCTTGACCGAGCTCGGGGTCGATGACGGCCGCGGGCGGTGGCGGCGGCGGGGGCAAACCTGTGAGCGGCGGCGCAATGGACTGGCGGAAGCGGGCGCGGAAGTCATTGGGCGCGGGACTTTCATCGCCCGAATCGCCGTCATCGTCGTTAGGCCCACCGCTTGCGCCTACGGCTGCTGCGACAGCCGCCGCAGCCGCACCGTTAGAGATCGCCTGTGCTGCGTGCTGAGCGGCCTGAGCAGCCTGATGCGCGTGGTACTGTCGGCGCTGAAAGTGCACTTCATGTCAACACGACATGCAAAGAAGCATACGGAGAAAAGGGAATACGAACGCCATAATCCCACTGATCCCACGCATTAGCGATAATGCCTTCGAACTGGTTCAGGTCCTCCTGCGTCATGCCCAAGCTCCTGAGAACGGGGCCCTTGAGCAGCGGCGCGCACGCGAAAGCCAACAGCAGCGTCTGGGCGAACATCGCGCCGCCCTGGGGCTGCACAATCTCTCCAGGAATACCGCCCGCGCCGTCCTCATGATGCCCTTGATGCATATACGCCGCGCTTCCCGGCGGCATATCGTACGGCATATGGGGCGGGATGACCTCGTTTCCCATATCAATTCCCAGCTCGCGCATCTTGCGCTGCTTGACGAGCGCGCGGTGTTTGCGCTGGCGCTCCCTCGCCGCGATGCGCACCCGCTCGCGCTTCGCCATCTCTTCTGCATTTAACTCGGCAGGCGTGAGCACGTGCCCCTGGGGGTGTTGGTGCTGCATCTGGCGGTGCACCTGGCCGGTGATAGCCTCGTGCGCCTGCTCAACGGCCCGCATCGCGTCGAGCTCCTCCTCCGTCGGCTGGTGCTGGCTGGGTCCAGGCTCGGATTGCATAAATTCGCCGGGGGGCGGGGGCAGCTGGCTGTGATTATCAGCGAGGGGCGAGGTTTCGAACTGTGCGGGCGAGTGTTCGCCGTGGCCCATGGGCGTGAGCTCAGAGTTGTGAAGCAGCGCCTCGCGGTCCCTCGCCCGCTTGCGACGCTGGCGCTCCGTCGCCTTTTCCCGCTTGGCTCGCTGCTCGGGCGACTCGAGCTCCCGCGGCCGTTTCCGCGCAGTGTGCGGCACCGTCGGCGACGGGATGGCGACGTTGGGCGAGAGCATGTGCGGTGGTGGTGGCGGTCCGTCCATTATCCCCGATGATGACACGATTCAATTGGCTTTTGTTTGTTTATTTTCTTCAGTATCCTTCAACGTCCGACGAGCAGCGCGGTGCGCGGGCGGGATCTCTGGCGCGAGCAGTCACCCGTGACGGGTGTGGCAATAAGTGACGAGGAGGGACACAAGAGAGTAACGGCGTTTCGCTGCGGCAGTCACTGCCGGTTTAAAAACTCGCCTCGTGTCATGTCTCGCACGCACGTTCCGCCGTGCACAAGCAGCGGCCGTAGGATGACTTCCAGCGTACGCCGCTTAGGCTCACGAAGCCAGAATTCATGTATCGTGAAAAGGTATTCATTTGCAAGCGAGAACAATGCGAAAGCGCTCCTCCGACGTCCGAGTCCAACTACAAACTACAGAACTACACGAAAACATGCGCCCTCAACGTTGCGCTACACCTCCACCCCTCCGTCCGCGTCCCCCGCCTCTCCTTCCGTACCCTCCCCATCCGCCGACATACGCTCCAGGGCCCATAAGTCCCACACCGCCCGGCTCGCCAAAAGTCGCAACATTCCGTTCGCGTTCTTCCTCACGCCTGTTCCGGCCGCCTCGTCCGCGTCCCCCGCGCCCACCACCACGCACAGGCGCACCGCTACTGCCGCCTCCACCAGCACCAGAGCTCAAGCTATCAAAGAAGCTCCGCTGGGGGTTATAAGCCGGCTCGACATCCTCGTCCTGATCCGGCCCAGGGCTAACAGCCTCCTTGTTGAACTTTGCATTCGAGCCGGCAAAGTCAAAGTCCTGTGCGGGTACAGCTACAGGTGGCGCAGCGCGCGAGCCGTGGCGTGAAGCCGCCTTGGAATCTGCCAGTGCGCGGCCAACAGTCTCCAGAGAGGCATCGGCCGTCGACACGGAGTTGTTGGCGCCTCCTGCGCGTTGGGCGTAGGAGGCTTGTTGCGCTGCAGCCGCCGCCGCAGGCGGGGCCTGCGCGCGTTGCTGAGGCGCACCGTTCTGCGCGGCGTACCCCGGTGCACCGTTGAACTGTCCGTATGGCTGCTGCTGCTGAGGCACGGGGGCAGCAGATGCCTAGATAATCAAGGAATGGCGGGATGTCAGCGCGCGATCAATGATTGACAGTGACAGATGGACAAGCTCAGAAGGAAGGCAGCGGGATATCCACACGGTTTTAAGCGCTCTCGGACAGTGTTAATATTATCCGCGAATGTTTTCGATCGTCGCAGGGATCGGGTTTGACGTTGGGAGGGTGGGGACTTACACCGAGAATGGCGGGATCGGCGTGGAGAGTCGGACGCGGCTGGGGTTCGTCGACCGAGAGGTCCTTCACCTCGCTCGCACGGAAAATGATGTACTCATACGGGTCCGGTACGGGCGGTATGAACTGCGCGGCGGGTCTGTGTGAAGGAGGGGGGAGGTGTATCAGCCACGATGCAAGATGAAAAGATAGAAGTTATAAGGTAGAGATGGAGACGAAGGTCAGAAGGAAGGCAACGGAAGCATCCACATGGGGTTTTGCGCTCTCGGACAGATCGAGCCGCAGCTCGTAACATCCGTATTGGATTCATCGTGTAAACATCCAACTGGCAAACTCAAACTCACCGCCTGTTCTCCGTGCCCATCGAGTACACTACACGCGACAGAGACACGTCAGTTGGAATGTTCGGGTGACTGGGGGACCGTGCGGCATACCATTGGAGAGCTGGATCGTCGACGCGTTGGGGTCGATGCCCGCTAGTATGCCGCGGTAGCGCACGTCCGAGTGCGAGATGAGCGAGATGGGCTTTCTGGGCCGCGGAGCAGCGTCAGCGCGGTGGCCGTGCGCGTGTGCGCGACACACACCCGATGAAAGTCGTCGACATAGTTTACAGGTTGATTTCGTTCAAGCAGTCAATGCGTAAAGAGAGAACAGAGGGTCAAGAGTGAGGAAGGTGGAGGTGGTCGTTGGGCAAGACGTGTCGACGCCAAGTCGACGCGACGTCGATGCTCGGATTATTTTTCCAGGCGTTGACGCGCGGTTGCCTTGCTTTCTTCTTTGACGTCCATGCCACACGAAGGGTCCTATAGCTCAGAACTCTAATGCATTCCCCGCGCGGCTGTAATGGCTTTCATCGCTTTCTAGACGAGCCCAGCTCGCGGCCAGATCGTGAGGGATTCGTCTTTTGAGGGAGAACTGTGCACACGATCGAGAGAAAGAACAACAAGAGGTGCATTGCGAGAGCAAGGTCTATGGGGAGCGCATAGAGCGACAAACGGGGTATCGTAGCAAGCGAAAAGGTAAAACCATAAACGAACACAGACACAAGAACGGGGAGTAAGTAAAGAACCGACTGGTATCCCAAGAAGCGACGACGAAGACGACAACGACTATTCCACCCAAGTCTTCTGCTTGATCTGTGTATAACTCTTACAACCCGAGGCGAGGCATGATTTCTTCTTCGGTGGTGGTACAACGACGATAACGGCGACATGATGAGTGAAGAGCGTCCGTGATGCGGGATGGATGGAGGTATGATGCGGTCAATGTGATGCGTGTGGCATGGTGTGTGGGGGGCGTGGCGGGTCGTTGCCTAGCATAGCCCGTATCGCATCAGCTCATCTCGTCCCGAATCAGAACAAGGTGCAAGTGGACTCACGGCGTCGTACACTACACTGCGGCGGTGTCTATGTGCGTCTATTTCTTGCGCTTGTGGTAAGGCGGAGGAGAGAGACCTCCGGGCGTTGGTGCGGGCAAGTTGAACGGCGAGACCGCGTCCTTGCCCTGTTGGCCACTCGTGCCGTTTTGACTGCCCTGCGACTGTGGAGTTAGCTCCATACCCCAGCTGGATCGTACGAGAGACGGTACACACCGAGTCCTTGTTCTGTGAGCTGTTGTCCTTCCCGTTAGAGTCGTTTGCCATGGCGGAGATGCGGTATGTGGGTTGTGGCGCGGGGTAAGGGCAGAGACGTCTGAGCGAGAGCTTTTAACCGCAGAGTAGAGTGTGGAGTGATGCGGTCCAACAGAACAGGTGTATGTGTGGGTACGTGGAGGGCAGTTCGAGCCGTAGAGGCCGTTCGATAGAGCCTTCTCCCTCGCAAGGGCACAGGCTCTTATATCAAGCCAGCCCCTATCCCACCCACGTCCTCGGTTCTCTGGCGCGAGTCTGGACAGGCTTCCGCACAGAAGCACCGAACGCTATAAACTCCCCGAGCGCCCGCCGGAACTTCGCTTGCGAAGCCTCCCTCGCATAATTGAACGCGATACGCGCAGAACGCCCGGATTGTTTTGCGAGTCCGACTTCTCCGCCATCGCGGGGCCGAGCACGCAGTTTCCCCATCACCCATTCGTGCCCTGCGCGGGCGAGCCCGTTCAACACGGTCTGGCCCAGGGCGCGGCCGCGGGCGGACCGCGGGCGAGTACGAAAAGGGGGGGCGGGCACGTACGCGCCTGCGCGCGGGGCTTCTGTTGGCGAAAGTACGCGGCACAGCAATATATGTCAGGTGACCGTCGAGCCTCGCATCAATTCGGGCCTTCTGTTCTCGTACGTCGTACGCTATGGTACGCGGTCGGGTTATCCGGCGCGCCGCGCTCGCGGGTGCAGCGTACACACAGGTTTACACCGCGAATTGATCAGGATTTTTTTCGCTGGGCTTCTTCCCAGCCGGAGACGACTCGTGCTGGATGCGCAGACAATAAGCACCGCGAGAGGTTGGGCGACGAAAAGGCGCCTGGCGCGTGTGTTGACTCGCCTGTGCGCGACGCGGAATCGGTATCGCGTCTTTGGACGTCCAGGGTAGAAGGTCGACGTCGGGCGAGCGTCATTCTCCCGCCCCTCTACAGACCCCCTTCTCTCCGCCAGTGCCTGTACATGGCGACACGGGACCAGGAAAGCGAGGACGAGGAAATCCGAAGAAGAACGCGCGTATGGAGAGGCGCGGAGTCCGCGAAGCCCGGATAGCGGGATGGGCGGTCTGAATAGAAAGAACTCTCCATGTCGGCAGATGTCGACGCGACGCGCCGGAATGGCCGACTAGACGGCCAAAGCCTGCGCAGCGAAAGTCTCCGTGCGGGCTCCGAGGTGGCATGCACGCCGCCGCGAAAACGCTCAGTAAACCCGACCGACTTGACCGCCCGGCCTTTTGCCTGCGTCTGGTGAAGGCGGCCCAGGGAGGCGGACCCGCCCACAGTCCCGGCCCTCCATTGTCTTCTCGTCTCTCACGCGCATCCTTCCGGCCTGGCCCTCCTTCCGCCGCCTGCGCGTGCGCGGGCGTAAGCCATCTTGGCTTTTTACCTTCGAGGGTGCGAAAAGCGGCCTCGGTGCCTTCGTTCGATAGCGAAAGGGCCAGGCCAGGCTGCGTTCGTTCGTTGAACGGTTGATTGAACGTATGGAGAGGAATCAAAGTCCGCAGAGCGCACTAATCAGATTGCAATGTGCCTTTGGAGAGAGGGGACTTGCGTATGAGGCCGCGTCAACGGAGGACGGGCATCATCCCCTCTCGCCACAAGGTTGCCGGACTCGCGTGTGCGCATACAGCCACCGTAGCATAGGCGCTGAAGAATAGGAGTACGAAACGGTTCACGTTGACTCCCCGCGCCCGATCAGGCAGGGGCTAGAGTTGTCGTAGCTGTCGTCAGTGCGGGTCATCCGCATCCGCCGTGCAATACGTTGGACCAGGTGCCACAGCGATGACTACACGTCGAGGTCGGCTGAGCAATTGTGTGGGCGCGCATCGCGCGGGGACGTGTGTGGCTCGAGACAGAGTTATGCGCTGAGGCGCGACTGGCGAAGCAGAGGCTGGGCAGAGGTGTGCCGAGGACATCTAGAAGTGCGCCACGCCGCAAATATAACGCCTCCTGGTCTCCCAGATGGAACCGGGACGTCCGAATCGCGGCATCGGTGCTCGGGTACGTGCGTTGACCGATATCTGGTGAGATGGGCGGCGTTCGGAGGAGAAGAGAACGTGACTGAAAGCGTCGAGAGCCACTCGTCCACGTACATCGACGTCCTATACGAGAAAGCGGGTTCTCGCGTATAGGGTCTTTCTAGACGGCGCAGAGGAAGCGACGGAGAATCCCTAGCAAGGCATGTGCGGCAGCTGTAGTAGTTGGAACGTGCCAGGCTGCGGCGTGAGGTGAAGAACACCGCGGATAGGGGCTACCGGTGAGTTCGCAATGCATGCGCTTCAAAGTTGAAGCTGTAATGCCGCTGTTTTACTCTTCTGAGAAGTGGTCCATAGTGATTGCTACATGGACCTGTTTCGGTCAAGAAACAAGGCTGTGCAAGCGATAGAAGAGTATCCTCGTCCACCCGTAACTTCGCCACAGGAGACCCAGTCACTCAAAGGAAGTTGAACTGTGCTTCACAGCTTATTGTCGGGTAGGTGAGAGAGTGAAGTTCATATTGAGAGTATTGGATCCTTGCGCCATGGTCATGCGCAACCGCATTACAGTACTGACAGAGGCGATCTGCGGCTGTCAGCGACGTCAAACCGGGCCGAAAGAAGAGGTGTCTTGTATGAACGACGGTGCGTATTCGAGTCGCCCTGAGCGAACTTTCGAATTTCCAGAGCACGCAAGCTTTGTGGAAAGGGTGACGCGGCCCGGCTTCGACTCGAGAATGGGCAACGTATATTCGCAGGAGATGACAGTGGTGATGGCCGGGACGAAGACGCGTATGGTCGCTGGTCGTCAACACGCGGCGTCACGGTCACGTTCGCGTGTGCCCAACGGTGGCCAAACGTATGCGGACGGCCGCAACCACACGAGCGTAGAAAGCCCAGCTTGATGAGCCAGCAGAACATTGAAAGATACATGAATCCCGATCCGTCTCATTCGCAAATACCAAGCTCACTATGATTACACGGTACAATTTCAGTCCTCGTGCCAGAACAGAAGCCGCAGATACTTCCATCCTTTAGAACACATGCCGCCTCACTCCAACGTCGGAGGGCTATTTCCACTGCCTGCCATGAGCATGATGCCAGGGCTCGTGACATCGTCAACCGTAAGGAAGAGTGTTGCGGGTCCTGGCGGGTACACGCGGCCGTTCGGGGGAGTGGTGAACGTGAGCGTCTTCTTGTCGCGCGAAAGCTTCGCGTCAAGGAAGACGAGGCGTGCGCTCGAGTGGAATGCGTGCGAGGAGAAACCGAGGTCCATAAGCGCAACTAGTACACAGAGTCAGCGCAGACCGATATGCTCCATGAAGCAGAACTTACCCTGGAGTTTGCTGGTGTCAAGGTCGCCCGGAATGGTCACGTCAGCGGTGAAGGTCTTTCCGAAGGCAAGCTTCTCGGGTACTCCCGAGAGAGTAGGGCGAGAGCGGAACATGAACGGAGGGTCGAGCGTCTCAACACGGAACTCGCTCGGGAACTTGACATTGGGTCCTTCGACAGTATGGTCTGTTCATCGGTTAGCCATCGATTAGAGCCAGACAGGCCTTCCAGATAGCTCACTATTCGGGTTTGAGCCGGCGATAAGGAAGTTGCCTTGAGGAGTGAGAGTCACGCTTGAGTGGTACATGCGCGCCACGTTGCTGGTGGGCATGCCCTCTTGGCTGAATCGCTGACCGAGGCGAGCGTCGGGGGTGTAGAGCTCCGGAGTAAACACTGGGTGGTCTGCGTTACTGTTGCCAATGGCGTCCTTCACACCGCTGAGCTATCGGATACCGGTCAGTATAAGCGGCATCTGACAGAAGTCAAGGTCCCATACCGCCGCAAAACCTGAACGACCGCCGTTCGTGATAAGTACCTGGCCATTGGGAATGTGGACCTGTCATAGATCAGTATGCATCGCGGATATGCAGTACGTGTAGCGACTTACCAACTCGGGCATGATACGACCGCCGAGCATCCTCTCCACGACCCAGCCTTGCTTGATACCTTGTTCAGTGAGCGTAATACGGCTGCATTGGTCCGTGGCCGGGAACTGGCTGCTGAGGTTGCCAACTTGAATCGTGTCGTCGACCGCCGCACCGCCACAGACAAGAACCTCGGGTACGTAGTCAGGCGGAGACAGTGGGAGCAAGATGGCAGAGCCGTCGATGGGGTTGGTAACGCGAACACCGTTCGGGATGTCGGGAAGGATGGTCTCTGTGTTTTGCTCGATGTCGTAGATGATGGATTGGTTGTTGGCGACTATGAAAACACGCCCATCGGGAAGGGCAAAGCCGCGAGGGAACAAGTTGGCAGGGAGACTCCCTGATGGACAGTACATGAGTCTCGGTTATGGGGACGATCGGACTGATACTGACTCTCGAGGAACGCAGAAGGCCGGGTTTTGCCGCCGTCCTTCTTCGGGAAGAACTCGAAGCTGTGCCAAAGGTGTCAGTGGCGCAGGAGTGATATAGAAAGACATACATACCTGTTCTCGGGATCGATGTTATAGAACTGAGCCGCAACATGGGTACCTTAGACGAGAGTCAGGTCAAAGTGCGAGCGGCAAGTCGCTCAAGCGCGCACCGCCAATGATCATCAGACTGCCGTCAAAGATACGAACTGACGACGGATACCAGCGGGGCATGGCAAGCGTGAAGTTCGGATCTGTAGGGTCTTCGAAGAGAGTGCAGTTGGCACCAGTTTTGTCGGCACAAGGTTCGAAGATACGGATCGCGTCGTTGCCGGTCATTGCAGCAGGTTGAATACCAGGCATGTCACCGCCCACGCTGACCTGTTCGATGCATCGAGTCAGCACGCTGCCATATGTGCTCGACGGTCATCTCACCATTGAGCCATTGCTGATCAACGCGCCCGAAGCGCAGAAGGAGTTCGATAGGACATCAAGAGCGCGAACGGTACTAGTCTCAAGATCCCAGAGAGCGCCCCAGGCTGAGTGACCATTGATCTGAAGAGGGTCGTCGCTCGCCCCTGAGTGTGTGTATTAGCTCGCATACTCGTGTGTACATTATACAGAGAAGACTCACTGTCGAAGAATAAGACGAGGTTAGGCGAGACGACGATAGACTCGAGAGCAACGATACCCGAGGTCGCGTTCTTCAAGTCAAACTTCCATGACGGAGCGCTGTCCGCTGCAAGCACAGATGATATGCCAAGCAAAGCAAGCGAAAGAGACAACATCCTCGCCACTGAACCACAACGATGGATGCGAGCACGTTGAAATACATCTCGCGTGAGTATATTCTCAGCCAGCTTGCAAAGCAGAAGTACGAAACGGAACTCCGTCGTCCGAAAAAGAGCCTTGGCATGCTAACCAGCACCAACGGCAAGCCCCCACATGAGATGAAGCAGCCACTTGGATGCGCTCGAGAGGTCGTTGTGACCTTGGCTGAGGCAAATCCCGTGGAAAGAATAACCACGCGTCTGTGAGTGCGAGAACCGATGAAGAAAGTCTTCAGCAAGATTGGCATCTCTCAGCGGGGGTCGGTGAGTGAACGTGAGCACGAGTAGATCACATTATATATCAGGCAATGAGCTATACTATACAGACTGGATGAAGCGCTGGAGAGCAGGCGGAGGCACTGCACCCATAAACTGGTTGACTGGCTTGCCATCCTTAAAGGCAATGACCGTGGGTAGGGAACGAATCTAAGTTGAGTGGGTCAGTGTTCTTTCAACGTGCGCAGCGTGGCGGCAGGCACGTACGCCGTATTGCATAGCAAGGTCCTGCTGTTCGTCTGTATCCACGGTCACCAGATCAAGAGCACGGTCAGAGCCGGACTTGACCTTCTCGTCGGAGGTAACCTCTTCCAGTAGGGGAGAGAGCCTCTTGCACGGTGCACACCAGCTGTATCGTGAGATGAGAACTTCCGTGTCGGATGGTTGAGGGAGTACTTCACTCCGCGTAGAAATCAACGAGTACGACCCTGTCCTTTGAGCGAGTCTCAATCACTTTATTAAAGGTCTACGGTCGTATGTCTAGGTAAGTACGGGGTGAAGCAGCGATAATGATGACACATACTTCAGGGTTCACTTTCAGGAAGTGGTCTCGTCTTGTCAGTGACGCAGAGAACGCGCGAGACGAGGGTTTCAACGCAGAAATAGCTGTACGGGCTGTCCTAGAGAGCATCTTGTGTGTCGGCGGCGGTTTAGCCAGCTCACTCAGCAGAGACTCGTTGAAGATCGAGGTCTGTTCAGAGGAGATCAACTTGACGCTGGCCTTGGCTTCTTCCTAGCGCCCGGCATTCCCCGAATGTCTTCGATTGGCTACATAGTCCTCTCGTCCTCGAGCTCCTTCAAGGTCTCGATGCTTACGACGCCCCCGGGCTTCTCGTTTACATATAGCATGCTGGTGGGAAGACCAGGTGATGAGGACGGCTTTGATAGATCCCTTTGTCTTCGCCGCTTACTGATGTGATGAAACATCGTGTTTCCAGCGCGGAAACGTCGAGGCTGAACGTACTGCTTGTGCATGTACAGTGTCCATTTATATCTTCATTCCTGGGTAAGCGCTCTGCTGCGTAGCAAATACGCGTAGGCTTCGCGACACGACGGCGCTCTTCGACCATCTGACGACGGAAAAGCGCCAGGGCCGACCAATCAAAGGAACTTATCGTCTCCATGCCAGCAGCCTAACGCCTCCTTTTGTGCACGCGCCCTTCCTGGTTGCCTGATGCCGGGAGATGAGCCAGTCTAGAGTATATAAGCTTGCGCGGGCCATTTTGCCGCACTCCAGGATTGTCTCCTTTCTCCCGCCTTCTCTTCTCGAGCCCCCTTCCTTGCGCCCTTCCGAGCCGGGTGAGTTGGCGATGTTCCCGATCAGTGCCGATCTATGCTGACATTGTATTCCAGTTCTCGCTAGCCTCTACCCGCGAAAGACTGTGTCTTCTGTCATTCCTTGTCTGCTAGCAGCTCCCCTTTGAACCTCTCCACTCTTTGCACGTAACTCTCCGTCAAGACCAATCACCATGCGTTTCTCCACCGCTCTCTTTGCTCTCCCCGCCTTCGCCGCCTCGGTCCTTGCCCAGACTCAGGACCACCAGGTCATGGTCGGCCAGTCTGGCTTGAGCTTCACGCCCTCGTCCGTCACTGCGGCTGCCGGTGACACCGTCACGTACGTTTGTCGCATGCTTGCAGCAGAACCCCGTCTAATCAATCGCAGGTTCGTCTTCTTCCCGAAGAACCACACCGTCACCCAGTCGACCTTCGCCGCACCCTGCACGAAGATGGCTGGTGGCATTGCCTCGGGCTTCCAGCCCGTGACTGCCGACCAGACCTCGGTGCCGGCGATGACGATCACCGTGAACGACACGACCCCGCTCTGGTTCTACTGCGGCCAGCAGTCCCCCGTCTCGCACTGCGGTATGGGCATGGTAAGAGGATCTCGTGCGGCCATATCATGAACTGTTGGCTGACGTAGATGATCAGGTGTTCGCTGTCAACCCCACCGCTGAGAAGTCGTTCGAGTCCTTCCAGACTGCTGCCAACGCGACGCTCGCCGCAACCAGCTCCACCAACACCACGACCTCTGGCACGACCGCCAGCTCCGGCACTGCTGCCGCTGGTGCGTCGGGTACCGCCTCGGCCGGTGTTGCCGCTGCGTCCCCGAGCGCGTCCACCACCTCGACGACGGGCGCCAACGCGTCCGGCGCGATGTCCCTTGGCGCGCACGCCGGTGCGATCCTCGCCACCGTCGGCCTCGCGTTCGGCATGCTTCTCTAAGCGAACACTGTTCTGGGCTTTGGCGATGGACTATTGCATGGACTTGTAGTACACGTGCTTTCTTGTGGACGGTTGGTGTCGCGTCGCGCCCTAGATCGGCCTGGGTACGCGCACCGCCGCGGCTTGTTCTTACTTACACATTCTTTCGCTTTCCGGGTGCTTTCATGGATCTGTATGCGTACATTACGGATTCTCTTAGCTGGGCTATCCTACTGACGGCGCAATGGAATCGTTTGGCTCACTACACCGAGGGAAATGAGTGAACTACGTTGAGAAGTCGGAGGTTGTCGAAGGCTTAACGGGCAAGACGCACGCCGTAAGATCGTGAGCGAAAGGCCGGGGGCACTCAGCATTTTGCCGTTTCAGTATTATTCTTGCGACTTGCACCTTCCGAGGGAAAAGACGCTGGCAGATACGACGGCAGAATAAATAGCATATTGAAATAGTCATGATACGGGCGTGACAAAGATGATCGTGAGGTACATGAGAGGCATGGGATACATAGGTGTTCTAGACATCAACCGATACAAAGCGTCCGTTGCGCAGAGTAGTCCATAACAGTCTCTCACTCGTGGTGCCCATCGTGGTGGTAGTACGGGCCAGGGTGGTTGCCGACAATCCTGAAGGGCTCACCGAAGTTGCCAGAGTCGCCGAAGACTACAAGATACGATTAGTCCCATGCTCAGAACGGATGAATAGGTCGAAGGTGTACGCACGGACGATCTCGTAACCGTTACCGGGACGGATCCAGTCAGGAACTGTGACAGACTGGTGGCCGGAGCGCAGGTCAAAGTTGAGCGCCAGAGGGTCTATCATGCAACATCAGAACTAGCCGAGCGAGCAGCTATGAAGGAAACGCACCGTTCACGAAAGTCTCGCCGTTCCTCCTGAGGAAGATCGCCGCGCCGTTACTGATGTTCTCAGGAGCGTCGGAGGTATCCCTAAGAAGGTGCATGTTAGATTGCGAGCCAGGGATGGAGGGAAGAGATGCTTACCAGACTACTTCGAAAGTGTGGCCGACCTTCCATACGGAGTTGTGGTTGGGGTAGATGATGTGAGGGTTCCAGACATCACGCTTAGCGACCTCAACCTCAGCTGGTGCGGCGGAGACGAGGGCGGCGAAGGCAACAAAGAGGGTCGTGAACTTCATGATGGAGACGAGGAGTGACCGTAGAGAGCGGATGAGGGAGGTAGAAGTTCGTCCATTGTCCTTTATAGACATCGCGTACGCAGTGGCAGGGGCAGTCGACCGGCGTTCGGCGAGTCGTGACACAGCTGAGGAAGCATTTCGCCAGCCTTACCCTGGGCGGGAGGTGACCCATATGCTGACTTCAGACAATGTGAGACATATCGAGCTTTGATCCCGTTACAAGGGGCTGGTTGCTGTGAGATCTAGTCATTGCACGATGTGAGCGAGGCGGCGAAAAGGGTGAAAAACCAGCCATCACTTAGGGAGCACTTCGCGTACTCAAGTGCTCAAGGTCTGACGAAGACTTCAAGTTCATATCCGCCCGCATATGGCGTTTGAAAGAGGTGCCATGCAGCGCTAGCACATCGCAGGAATTCGCATTATCGCTCGCGGCGATCAACCAGCGCGGAACGTAACTGCAAGACACCCTGCTAAGAATGTACAGAGCGGTCTCACTGCCACTGGCTGTACCTAGCGCTGTACGCTAGGAGATGAGACTTCGGCCGCTGTATACCCTTCCCGCCAAGAGAGCGCATGCGCGGTGTGTCGAGCCCGGGGAAGACATCAGGGATTGCAAACAGTAAAATACATTCAGTCCGTGGCTATGTCCGGCCTGGCCCGTTGAGCTACGCCCTCTTCCGTGCGCCCATTACTTCGTGCCGATCGGGGTGAAGGGGGTTGAGGACCCATAACACGGACAACGCGAGTCCAGTTACACCTAGATAGATAACGATGCGAACCGGGAACGGGCTGAGGGTCAGGAATGGGTACGGGACTGGAAACGGCATTAGCATCGCGGGCGTTTTCGAAATCGGCGGCGAGACTCACAGGTTCCGTTATTGTGCGATGCACAGTATTCCACCCACGAGCCATACCACACCGCCATAAGAAGCGCCATTGCCGGCGCGTGACGCTTCATCTCGAGAGGAGAGTACTGCCGCTCAAAGAGTAGAAAGTCGAGTAGCAGAGAGATCGCGGGCATGAAATGTAGCGCGAGGTCAACGTTCAGATCCAACCGAAACGGAACGGGTGCGGCGGAGGAAGGTTCGCCTTCAACTTGGATGCCTTCGTTCGAGAGCGGCATAATCAGAGATGGGGCGAGAAGGACGAGTGGCCAGTAGATGATGCTGATGGTGAACGCCAGCTGTGGCGTGTTCAGTAAACGCACGCGCAGGACCATATTAAGTCTCGTACCGGCAAGGATACCATTCCAAGCGTGCGTTTGACCTTCTGGATGTCTATGATACTCATCAGCAATGGAAAGGGCGTCTGGTGGTACGAGCGTACAAGGTATTGATGGGATGATCTGGTGAATGAGTCCGAGTGAGAGTGTGGCTGCTGCGAGTGCCAGACTAGAGATTATATTAGTCAAGTATATAGCCATATGTACCATTCCACGCACCCTTGGATAGTCAAGAACTGCAGGTGTCCTCCCTTCTGCGCCTTGACCCAGTCGTCGAAGCCGGTCGAGTCGAGTCCAATGAAGAAGCCCCAGTACATAGTCCATACCGCGCTACCATAGAGTATCACGGCCGGGATTCGTTGCGATGCATCCATGTTGAGTTCCTCAGGTTGAGAGATAGTGGTCGTTGTTGGTCATGTTGATCGAACACAACGTCTTGACCGTCACTGGCGATGTCCGAGTCGGTGATCTCATCCCGCTGACGTCAGACGAGCGCGAATAACCGCTCGCAACTGTTGTACTAGCACCCATAGTGCTCAGGAGTCCCAAGCTGTCGGAACAGTATCACAGGAGGGCCTCGCTGAATGATAGACCTTTGGGGGATAGAGTCGATTCATAGTGGTGGTCAGAAGCAAGGAGCGTTGTCAAGCACAGTACGTAGTGTATGGAATGCACTGTGATAGGAACCGAACTACAACATGATCTCAGATCTACTTCAGCATAATCCCCTCCATCTCCTCCACAAGTACCCATATATCGACGCCGCTACCAGCGATGCACCAGCCATCACCCATGCCGTGGTTTGCCAACACTCAACCCCAACGCAAACTCCGTCGCCTTGTGCGGCATGACGCTCTGACACGAAAGCATAGAGGTAGGAGAAGCACGGTGTGCCCACGAAGGGAGCGTATGTGATGAGCCCGTAGTTTCGTCCTAGGTTCTTCGCTCCCCATACGCCGGAGAGGATACTTGGCCTGTAGTCAGGAGGTCAGCCAAGAGACAGGCGAACGGAAGGCGGCCATGAGCTCACAAGATGGTGAATGTGGCCCCATACGCGATCCCCGTGCAGATACTGAAATATTGTTAGCGATGAGGCGGATACGGTCATAGTCAGGGAACCTACCTCAACAGCAGTAGAGCGTCCTGTGAGCGAATGAAGGCTCCCAGTGATAGATGGGCAAGGGCCGACACAAATGCCGCCCCGGTGAGGAAGATCTTCCTGCTAACCCAAGGTCTGCGATTATATTGACGCACACCGTTCAAGAGTCCGATATGGACAGGAGAAATATAGTCGGCCAGAGGACCAACGACGAGGCGCGTCAGTGTATTCGCAAGACTGATCGCCTGGACCTGCTTCGAAATCGCCGTGTCCGTACGACGATCCATGAAAGAGCTTCCAGGAGAGTACGGCAGGGAAAGCACAATGCTCCCTATGTTCGCCATCATCGTCTCTCCCTGAAATATGAAGTCAGTGATCATGGTTATCGAGAGAGATCAGCGCTAAGCACTCACAATACCGGTAATCACAAATACCCCAAGCACCAAAAGCAAGAACTCAGAGTCGCGAAGAAGCTCCAGAATCGGTCCGCCGCGCTCGGCCTCGGTTTGCCTTGCGCATTCGGCATCTTGCGGTGGGCTTTTTGGAAGCAGAGCATCATTCTCCGTGGCTTCAGGTGCGACTAGGGTTGTACTGCTGGTACTTGGTATAGGCCCGTCTTGCAGAGAGTCTGGTGTTTCCGAGTTCCTGGGTCTTGTTTGAATCGAGAACTTCAGGACCAACGTCGAACTTAAGAGAACAAGGCTGGCGAAGACGGCCAGGCAGGTCATGAAAGGGATAACACTGAGGCCCGAGTCCGCTTCGGTGAAGAATGTAGTGGCAATGATCGAGATGAAGAGTGGTGATAGACCAAAGAGCGACAGAGTGGTGCCGGAGGCGATTCCAAGAAAGTGCGGATATGATTGTGTAGCTGCGAATAGCGCAGAGAAGAGCCTAGTGGTACTTCAGTCAGTAAACATATGCCGAGTTGCAGGAAGAGACTTACCCAAAGACAGTCCCCATCCCACACATGAAGAAGTATAGCGTCAAGCGCCGAAAGCTAGTCTGTGAGGAGGTACTGATATCCTCTGGCGTTCGGGCTATCTCCAAGGCGAATAGTCCATAGCCGGACGAGAACAAGCCGGCGGCAATCAGAGAGCAGAGCCAGGGGCCGTGTGTATCACTGATCTTGCCAACCACTGCTGCCAAAGGATACTGTCCCATCATGCCTCTGTATACGGGGGGCATCGCTCAGTGACATGCTCTCATCGGATAGTAGAGGATCACGAACGCGAGAACAATGGTCGTCAATTGCGGTTGCGTCAGCTTGAGATGATATGCCAGGGAAGGCGATATTAGAGGGAATGTGTATACTCCTCCGGAGACGAGGCTATTGCGACCATGTATGTGTCGGTTAGCCTGGCTGAAGCCGTTGGCGCGTCAACGCACGCATTCAGCCCTATCGCTCCGCACAGCAGACCGTGCCGAAGGTGGCCGGACCAGATGCGCTCTTTCATGGTAGACAGAGACCCCATGGCGACTTGGAATGGATTGACCGAAGCCCAGAGGGCTACGTGATAGTACAGAACAGAGTCATGATACTACTGCAGAGGCGGCCTCCGAAGCGCTGGTCCGCATTATGTCATCAAGGTTCAAGTGCCCCTTGTTTGTTGACCACAAGCCACCACCATCCCGAATTGGTCTATGTTTGTTCCCATTTCGTCGCTCTTGAACACCTGAAGGGTGCACAAGGCGGATGTCCAAGTTACGCAGGAGGCATGTATAGCGTGAGATCCAGTCCCACGGGTGTTTGGCCACAACAATGGGGGATCCGAGAACAATGACCTCCAACCATTTGTGGTTTTACTGCTCTGAGCGATCCGCGTCCAAGCGTTAGTCTCTTGCCCCCAACCACCATTGCTTATTCCCCATTCATGCCCTGACGCCTCGACACGTCTTTGCCTCTGTTGCATCTTGCTCCCGACCTCGACCTCCAACGCGCTTACCGTCCAACCCACTCTCTTTACCCGCTAATCATTGTCAAATCTCATGCGAACGCCCTTCCTTGTCATACGTTTTGTGATCCTCGCGCTCGTGGGCTACCTCAGTGTCGTCGCCCTTGCACTGGCAGCTTGGAATATTGCGGCCGCGAAAGCTGCAGGTACCTATGGTGCGTACTGAATGAACATCGAATTGCGACGAAATACTGACCCTGTACACAGCTCCGAGCGGCGCCATCTTCCTCATATTCAACGCCTGCTTCTACTTTGTCCTAATCGCACTGTGCGTCTCAGTTAATATCTTACCTAATCCACAACTGACCGCACTTTAGAGCCTTTTTGGAATACGTAGGACAGAGCGTCAACGAATATGCCTCGTTGGTAGCCACTGAGTGTGTGTGGTCCGGTTTGATGGCCGTATTGTCTCTCGGTGAGCCTGCATCCATATTTTCTCACCGTCGAGTCTAACGTGAGTTGAACAGCTGCCAGCATCACTGCTACAATCGGCGGTCCGCCAATGTTCTGTCATGATCACGTCCCTTTCTCGCTGTGTGCATCTGCGACAGTGCTTGTGCCTGTGAGCTGGCTCACAGGCATCCTAAGTGCGTGCATCATATCATACATCTTTGTGACTACCGCTGATCCCTGCACAGTGCTCTCATATTTCCTGACGATCCTCGGGCTCGCCATCGGCCACATGCGCACAGAACCTGGGATCTGGACCAAGTCCCTCTACAAAGTACCCTGGTTCGATTCCGATCGGGTATCCAAGTTTCCGCCAGTGCTCCCCCCTCTAAACAAACACGAATCCACTCGCCTCTCGTTCCTCTCCCGCAGACATTCGCTATCCGTCTTCCCCGAAGACGTCGAACAATCTGCCGGGGGAACTCCGGCGGAGCGCCCGTCGGCCCCGGAACCGAAGACTCCGAAGACGCCTAGTTCGATGTTCAATACCATGCCCTTGTTCAAGCGTACGGATAGCTCGGATCAGAGTCGACCGTGGTGGGCTCGCGTACGCGACATTCGCCCAGGCATCGACGTGCCCTTCCCACGTGTCTTGCGCTTCAGTACTCTCTCAATGTCTCGCACCCCGCGCGGCTCGGCAGATCAAGGGCAACCGCCCGCGGTACCACCTCTACCCGCGACGCAGGATCCCGGCATCGACGACTTCGGTCAGCGGTATATCAGCTTCTTCCCAGGCGAACGTCGACCTTCGCAACGAGTGCCCGACTCAGCGAGTACGGGACACCACATGGCGTACGACCCCGATCGTCCGCTTCCCCGCCCTCCGCGCTCTGAGTGGGTGCGCGCGGATGGAAGCTCGGATCCTGGCAGGTCCCGGTATCCAAGACGTTTCTGATGACAGGTAGCAGGCAGGCCTGCTCTACGTATCCCGATCGCATCATTCAAGTGTAGCCATAGTCGCATTCATCACACCTTGTATCCATACATAGTACGCTATAGATAGTCCTTGGGTATACATATATCCAATATATCTGTATTCATTCGAAGGCATGAACTCGACAGTACCGGATGTAACCCTCACGACACAGTGTTACCCTGCAAATCGGCCAGCTGGGTACGCAGCGACATATTCTCTTGTTGCATCGCAGAAAGCTCGTCGCGAAGTTTCTGCACCTCTTCTCGCAGTTGCTCAGTCTCTGCCCCAGACTCTTCTTGCATCTCGCCAGTTCCGACAGCAACCCCTATAAATAGACGATCGTATCTTAGCTTGCTTCCGGGCACATGCGTTGGTGCACGGACCTTCGACGACTTTCACCAACCGCCACAGACGTAGTACGATTAGCAGCTCGGCCAGCTCACGCTCTTTCCCTCTGAGCGCAAACTCAAGCACGAGGGTGGTAACGATGACGGCCGCATCGAAGAAGTGAAGACCGCGATGTGGCACCTTGCCAAAGGGATTGTAATGCTGCCATCCGAAGCACCATATTGTGAGGGGTATCTCGATGAAGAAGAAGCATGTTATAGCCAGTGATATGTACGATAGAACGTCAAGCCACAGAGGGCCGTTCTCATCGCTCGGAGGTTCGCAGCCAGGTGAAAGTAAGGTGTACGAGAGGTCCGCTAGTACTATGGCGGTGTCCAGTAGAGTCTAGGGCAGTAGGGATGGGGTTGGTAACTGCCAACATCTGGGATATGGGCTCCACTGACCAGTAGAATGACCAGCTGGTGAGTCCTACGGTGCTCAAGAAACGCAGCGACGCGCTCTTTCAACTTCGGACCGACATCTTGCTGGGCGTCCGATGCGTTGTGTTCTGATACTGGTAGCAGGGGCTCTTGCTCAGACATGCGGGTTGCGACCAAATCTCTGAACCTTGCCGCTCGCAGGACCGATAGTCAACTTGCGCACCAACTCGGAGGCGTTCGAGGTGGTCGTCGGGGGAAGAAACCGCAGAACAGCATGTGATCGCGTAGCAAGGCATTTCCCGCGCTAATTGACCTCTCCTCCAACCCCCACCATCGTAGCGGATGGGCGAATCAACACTGTTTCTGATGCTTTCAGCCTCCTCTTGATGGTCGTCATAAGTGCGCTAGCTGCAACGAGCCTGTTGATCGTGCGGTCGACGTTGCATGCGCCGCTCATCGTCCTAGTTCGGCTAAGAGCGCGTTCCATAACATGCCCTCGGGCCGCGTAGATCATGACATGCAACGATCACACTGAGGTCCTCTTGCGATTAAGCGACCGAAGTGACCATACAAAGGTGCTGTCGCACATGAAGAGTCGCAACTCTCCTCTTCCCGAGCCCTGGCTTTGCGTTCCCCAGACACTTCCTACCTTACTTCCGAGCCAGGCGCTCTTCTGACCCTTGCTTGATACCCCCTTCGGGCTACACACCATTGCCTGCCGTCGTACATCCAGGATACCCATGACGTCTGACATCTGGACACCCTTCCGCTGGGCGCGACGACTCGTATTCGGTGAGTGCGATCTCCGCTTAGCCTTCGCGCTGATGTGGACGACGAACTGAGAATGTGACAGGTACCCTCTCGTTCTTATGTCTACTATGGGCCAGCCTCTTTGCTACTCTTGCCGCGAAAGGATGGCAAGGGTGGACATCAACCGAGCGTCAGTCTGCTATGTCCCCGTTACCGTGCCTACCTGACGCATCCACTCCATAGGTGGTATCATTCTGAGCAACGTATTAGCGTATACCCTCGGTTTTGTGCTCTTTTACCTGATGTCGGTTGTGAGACTCCTCTAGTCTGACTGCCAGCTTATGCAAACCTCTAGGGCTGTAGTAGTTTTCCGCCTATGGTGGGATTTCTTCAGGGCTGGGCTTCTTTTGACTCTTCTGAGCGGTGATTCCATTTCCCATTGTTCACTCATCCAATCAATTGATCAATGTCTGGAAGGCGCATCTGCTGCGTTCACGGCTTTCGAACCCGGCCTTCCTTGCATCGTCGGTGCGTGTGCGCCCATCACTTCACACAAATAGGCTCATAACTACCATGCAGGATCTCCGTTGTCGTGCAAGAAAATATACTTGATCACGTTGTCAGGAAGTTGGTTCATCGCCGGGCTACGTATGTCTGACACTTCTTACGCCACAGTGCTACGCTGACTATACACAGTTGTATGCTATTGTATTGCACTGGCCGGCGTTACTACGTTTGCGGGACCTTTCCGCTCGTTCCCGGGCCTGGATGAAGAAAATCAACATCCAGTATCTGCTGGCCATGCTTTCAGGATCTCAAAACCGACGCCATTGGACCCAGATGACCAGGCTCAACCCGCAATCTCGCCACGCACTCAGCAACATTATCGTCGTATGGGTCTGAAGTTGCCATCCATCCCATCCCGAACTCATTCGGCCGCACTCTCTTGGTACAACCTCGAGGAGCAAGCAATATTCGATTCTTCGCTACGAGAGCCTGCATCAGTCCTATCTTTGGCGCGCACGCGATCCCGCCCAGCTACAATAATGAGTCATAGAGTGCCGTCACCACTGGCATTTCCTCCGCCTTCGTACCCGTACTACACACGCACGCACGCACATTCGGCTAGCTCACTGTCCTATGCGTCTTCCGCCCACTCGATCAGCACGGAAGATGGACGGCCCGCTATAGAAAGAGGGGCATGGGCTCAAGTTCCCCATGCGCTCTCTCGCACATCTCACCATCCATCGAGCTCACCACACGCACCATCTTCTCTGAAGCGCAAGCCTCCGCCATCCCTTAACACCATCTCAGCAGGAGCGAGGCTGGACAGAGGTGTACAGCCTCCGCCTTTGAATGCCGCTGCCTGGATGCCCGTGCACATCGTCGGGTCTGGGCCGTCTGTGCACTCCGTTGTTCCATCCGTATCATCCAGGAGAGACGAAGCTTCAACGCATACCCGTAGACGGAGACATCCCCCCTCGCTGACGCCCGGCTTTACTCGCGATGATTGGTTATCACGACAACCTCGGATAGAACGCTGTGATACAGCTGATCCGCATAACCGGCACGCTTCCCTGCGCTACGCTCCTCGTGATGTAGGAGCACGTTTTTGAAACTACTCTTCGTGATGGAGACTATCACGCTCTCTTGTACACGAATGACTGACAGACAGGTCTTTCGTTGACAGATCTGTATGTGTGAGATCCACTCCTTACCTTGTAGATCCTTGCCCCTCGAATGCTCTGACTGAGCTATGTGCCGAACGAGGGCCACATCTCAGCCCACCTAAACCCTACTTCCGGCTTGCATGAGAACATCGAACTATCTCAGCTGGCCGTAGTTCCATACGGATCGCGGCAAAAGATATGGCCTACTTACTACCCATACTACTGCCGCACATCCCGAAACTACCGCAGAGTGCATGCTCATCTTATCTACAACCGCCAAGCCTGCAATTGCTTCTCTCCATGCGTCTACAGGACAACGCACGTGTGACACTGCCCTGACGAGCCACGAACATACACACCTGTGCAAAGAGCACACTGCACATGCGTATCTGACAGGCATTCGCGCCCATACTGTCTGATTGCGCTAGACTGGATGATAGCTTCTGAAGAGCTATATATAGGTGAGAGCTGCTGTAGACGTACTAGTCAGCGTCGACCATCACAGCTATGCCCATTCAGCGTTCCTTCCTCGCTGTCGTTGCACTTGCGCTTGCAGTGCAGGTATCTGCCGGTCCGATCGCGCCGTTGCGTCGAGCTCTGCCCACGCCGCCGGCCGTATCGACGTCGAAAACGTACCTCAGCGCCTTGACGGTAGACGACAATCCTACGAACTCGCCTGCCTACGCACGGGATCTATTCAAGACGTGGGATATCATCTCCGGAACCTGCGATACCCGCGAAAGTGAGGGACAGATGAGCATCCGATAGGACGTCTTGCTCATGGTGCACCACAGCCGTTTTGAAGAGAGACGGAACGAACGTTGTGACGGACTCGTCGTGCAAGGCGACTTCGGGTAACTGGGTCTCACCGTATGATAATGTGGCGACGACTCTCGCAAGCGATCTCGACATTGTGAGTACGGAATCCATTCTCGTGGTGGATGTCGCTGAACCCACGCGAATAGGACCACATCGTGCCATTGAAGGAGGCGTGGATCTCCGGAGCAAAGGATTGGACCTCCGCCCAACGGGAGAGTTTCGCGAACGACTTGACGCGCCCTCAGCTTGTAGCCGTCACTGACAACCTCAACGAGAGTAAAGGTGAGCACTATGTTGCATGACGACGGACATGTAGTCCGTCGAGAGCGCGTCCCGTCACGCTGTTTTGTCACGCGCTTCGCTGGAAGACCCGCCGTAAGGCATGATGGCGTGTGTGAACCATAAGACGCGCCCGTCGAACTACTACGCTGTGGGGCTTGTCTACGAGCCAGGGCTGACGCTAGGTCTTAGGCGATAAGGACCCCGCACAGTGGCTTCCACCGCTCAAGAGTTTCCAGTGCGAATACGTGAGGGCGTACATTTCAGTGAGTCATCGTTTACAATCGGAATATCGTTACAAGCCCACTGACGCACTCGCAGGTCAAGCACTACTACCAGCTGACTGTGGATAGCGCGGAAAAGACGGCCTTGTCTAATGTGCTCAATAACGTGTGCTGAGAGGCACCCCGAAATACGAGGGGAGGACATGCAGGGACGGAAGAAGCTGCCTAACAATACGTGTTGAGCCAATGTACGATCGGTCTGGGGCAGTCGGGTGTTCCGAGATGCACAATAGCCTTCTATAAACACCCACATGCTCCGACGAGAAGTGTCGGTAGACAGAAGTGGCCGCGAATACCGAGTGTTGCTCCTGCTGGTCGGGCGAGTCAAAGCGGCGACCCATGGAACGGAAGCCAAACCCGATCGAGCTCGTAAAGATGTGTCTGTTCATGAGAGACCGAGTTTTTTGCGCGCCTTCCAGTGATATTCGCCGGTGAGAACTTGAAGAAGCTGTGCCAATCGCTCGGCGGAGGAATCCGGGCGGTCATGCAGACATATCCATTGTGCATCGTGGAGCCTGTGAGTAAGCATTCGATTTATTTGCTGGTCTGTGCACCCTTAGCATGTAGTAGGCGTAGTACTAGTAGATGCCGACGGGGTACACGGGACCGAGGTGACGGTCTGGATTTATTTTGGATCTCACTCGGATGTATAACGCGTGGTCTCCACGCGAGATTTCGGCGGCTCCGGCCACTCTCCGGCCTCCGCGGCCGCGCGACGTCGCAGCACACCTTGCTCTTCGCCACCACACTCACCGTAGTCTTCGAGTTTGGTCGACGTTCTCTATCTCACGATATCGTATTCAAGCCGAGATGCAAGTGCATTGCGCCAGATTCGTGAAACGAGCCGAGTCCTGTATTCGCTCCCGGTTCCGCTGTTTTAGCAGTACCATCCCGGACTTCGCTTTCTACCCCGACTTTTTTGACGTCAAGGAGCAGACCACATTACTTGAAGCCTGTCTGAAAAAGCTCGACTTGGAGGAAAGTCGTCGCATGCGACGTCGGCGTGAACAATATCTCGCCGTACAACGCAAGGATATCCCGGCTTTACCCGAGAGCTCTCAGCGCCTGGTGGACTATTTTCTGCCCGATGATCTGTATCAATTCGAGGAGGTTTGCCTTGCTGTATTTCATCAGCACCCCATAGTTCTGAGATGAACTGCTGCAGGGACATTTTGACGGTGTCATACGACACTACCGTGAGATGCACGTATCAACATGGGATCCTGTAGATTCCTCCGAGTTGCTGTCAATTCTGAAAAAACTGGAGACGCTGTATCCATCAGCGCAGTACGGCACGCAGACACACATCCTACATCTCGCTTCCGAAGGCGACATCTTCCCACATGTAGACAACGTGGAGGCGAGTGGAACGTGGATTATGGGTGTGAGCCTAGGAGCAACACGACGCCTCTGCCTGGAGCCCGCAGAACAGGATGGACAGGCGGCCGGCAGAAGTTACGAGACCCTGCTGCCTTCTGGAAGTGTGTACGTTCAAAGGTACGCCTCCAGCGGCGATGTGCCCTTTCGCAATTCGGAAGCCCGTCTGACGCCGGGACCTACATGGCAGTGGTGCAACTCGGTATCGCTACGCACACTCTATCGTGCGTGGCTCTGGATCAACCCCGGGTCAGCGCTTGAGCTTGATGGTCAGAGTAAGTTGGAACCCTACTGGGCCCCTGCTTCGCAACACCTACAACACTTACCCGTTCTAGGATCGCCTGGATTCGTCGATGGGAGGAAATGGCATGAAAACATCCAGGTAATGGGCTAGCCACGACAGGCTTACACTTCCAGTGCGTTATTGATGTTCGCCGTCATTTTCTCACCGTCATCTCAGGAAGCCGTGCGAGAGGCCCTGAATTGCCCGTTGTCAACATAGTACTAGTATTCTCACGGCACGATTCCATTGTTCAGTAGGCAAACTGCCTTCACAATGGGTCTGAAATACAGTATCTCTCGTGCTCATTAGAGCTTCAATGACTTAACATCACATGCACGATTGATTCGAGCAGTGACGAGGGCCGTGGCTTTTGTCGGTCAAGTACGATGTACATAGACCTGGCCGCGTCGGTGTATGGCACAAGATCCATAGATTCGCCTGCCTTCATCGGTCCCAATGACGATCTTCCCGGTCACCAGAGGCGATCTCCCCGATTAAGATGCACCGGGCACATTGCGCGAGTGCTATTACATCCTCCATTTAAATGCGATTGTCGCTGTCTGGATGTGGGTATTAGTGGGCGAATGCCCACTCGAGTTGTGGCCCCCGCCGCACTTCGATTGAGGCCGATCGTTCGCGCATTGCGTCTTCTGGACCGCCCGATCGACGCTGTAGCAACCACGTTGTGCACTTATCCGAAGCCTTTCCGTTGCTTTCGGGCAAGCGCTTGTGGCAGGGAGGCGCCAGTGAGAAGACCAATGAAAACCGACATGCGGCATCGCTAAAGTTCGATGTTATGGCATTCCGGCGCACATACAACGCGTATTGTATCCGAGTCACTTGAAGAAGGAAAGGAACGCGCTCGGGTAGGCGTCCGACAGAAGCCACGCAGCTCGGGCAGAAGTTAAAGTCGTTAGGGTCGGAAATAACAATGGTCATGAACTCATCGCGTCATAGGGAAAGAGTGGAAAGTAGTGCTGAGACAGCAGAACAAGTGTGTGCAGGTAGCTCCAGCTGTATAGTCCGAGTGAGAATACGTAGAGACGCGATCCCCGTTAACGGGGTGCGCCGAATAAAGCGAGCGTGGAATGCCGCGCGTAGTGGATACGCGCGTCAATTGGTCAGGCCGTACCGTCCGCCGTGCCCGGGCACGCTGACGGGAGGCGTTCGGACGGCCCGATGGAAATGTACTGGGTAGCCTGCGCGCCGCGCGGTAGGCGGCGGTTGAGTAGCGCGCGGCTAGACAACGTGAACCTGGTCGACGCTGAAAGATGTTTCATCAGAGTTTATGCAGATCATGACACGTAACTTACGGTAAAGTGACGATGGCGCTAGTGCCTTCAACTTGTACGCTGACGACTCTGGTGTTCTATCCAAAGTATCAACACCGCATGCGGATGAGGCGGAACAAGGAGGACTTACGTCGGGCTGCGCGCCGTGGGCGTGCACGATTCCCCTTTGTTGTTGACCCTTTGCGTTCAAGAACCAAACTCGAGTGCCAACCTAATACACCGAATCAGCGGACACTCTTAGTGTACTTGGGATGCAAGACGAACACACCGGGGGTGGATTCATAGCCGAAATAGGGAGACTAAGGAGTTACAGAGTATGACTGTACTCCCGGAGTGTTGATGAGCGAGCGAAGTGTGCAAGGTTAACGATGGTCTGTAGCCCGACTTTTATACGGATAGAACAAGCCGCATGTATGTCGGACAGTGGGCTGGCACACGATCGGAACGAGCAAACGTCACCCAGGTAGAAGTCCGAGCTCGAGACGCATCCAAGTCACAGCGACGAAGCTGTGGGCGCGAAACGCTAGAGGGAAGACGTGGGCGTGGAGGGGCTCGAACATGAGATGCGAGTATCTCATAAGGAAAACTATCCCCGCCGAAAAGAACAGTCGCCCGGAAACTCATGCTGCTGCCGCAAACGAGGGCAGTGATGGTGGCCGGCAGAAATAGGACGTTCAATGGCAGGCCTGTGGCGCGTAAGACGCGCAGAAGGATCAGGATCGACCGTGCAGCCGAGACCGCAGGAGAGTTTCGAAGCGCGTCACTCATTATCCACGTTGGGTTGATCCATCAGCACCTCACTTGTACAGAATGCGTGGCTGTCCTTGGCCGAGAACAGAGGCGGACATCGGTTGCATCGCGCAAGGAACAGTCGTTGAGCCAGGAGAAAGATGAAGAGCCAGGCACGGAAGTATTGATTGAACGTAATGTCGCGCATGGTTTTGGAGGAACAGTAGGAGGATGAGGTTCCGTGCGCCGGCTCCTGCGCCTGCCGAACACGGTTGAGCGATGGTAAAATCGGGCGATGCGCAGCGTGAACCGACACATTGAACAGCACAGGTAGAAGTTCGGGTGGACTACCTATCTATCTTGTCCTCTTTCCGGGAAGTCGAAGCAGAGAGTACACGCGGTAATACACGCGTCGGGACGCGAAGAACATGTACGGTAAAGCCTAGAGCCCGTTCATGGTTTCCCGATGTGTATTCTCATGTGTGTGGCGAATCTCGCGCGCGCCACAGCGAGCTCGAAGCATTGCCAGGCGCATGGGAGGCGCGAGATTGTAGGCACCTGCCTATACCAGTGTGAAGGTCAAGAGCAAGAGCGTCCTCGCATTTCTGATCGGCATAAACACGCTCTCACGCGCGGATTGACGCTTTCGCGTTTTGTATCAAGCCGCCATCTCGCTCTGTAGTCATGCCCGCGCAGTCATCCACGAAAGCGTCGCCTGCGCCTCAGGACATGTCTGTTATTCTTGTAACTGGCTCTTATGATCATGAGATCCGCTTCTGGGAAGCCTGGAGCGGTATATGTTCGAGGACGATCGCACGTTCTGGAGAGACTGGCGTGCGTGTCTACTCTTCTACCTGCCTGCTGCCGGGCGGCCGTGCTGTGTTTTGCTTCTCGCCACCTGAATCGCGGCTTACGGCAATCCCGTCAGCAAGTAAACAGGCTGGCCATTTCGCCCGAGTCAGTTCCCTTGTCTCATCTACTCCTTATTTTGCCCTTCACAACTCGTTTTCCGCTCCAGTAAACGATACTTGGCCGCCGCAATACACAAGAAAGTTAACATCTATGAGATCGCGAGCTCCGCATCTACCCCGGTAGGCTCACTGGGCCTTGTCCTCGCCCCGCCACAACCCTTTGTCCCAGTTAAGCTCACGCCACGAAGGTGGTAACGTTCGAAGGCCACACGAACAATATTACGTCCGTGTCTTTCCACAGCCAGGGCAAATGGCTTGTTACCGGTAGTGAAGATAAGACGATAAAGATCTGGGATCTACGGTGCGTCAGAACCGTAGCGACCATCTTCATGGGTTTCAACGTTCTCACTGCGAGTAGGACGGGTCATCTTCACCGAAATTACAATAACGAAGCCCCAGGTCATTACGTTTCTGCGTACACCCGCTGTCGAAGGTTCTGACGCCAGATGCCAAACTCTAGTTAACGATGTCTGCGTACACCCTAATCAAGGCGAGCTCATATCTTGCGATCAAGCTGGCCGGATCAAGCAGTGGGACCTATCGGAGAACATATGCACCCACGAGTTGGTGCGTCCACTCTATTAGACTCTCTCGAATGATAATGGGATCGTATCTTCATTTCTCACGGTCTTGTACAGACTCCTGCTGGCGACGTTCCAATTCGCTCTGTCACGCTCGCAAGCGATGGCTCCTGTCTTGTCGCAGGAAACAACAAGGCGAGTGCACATTGCACCTCCTGGCTGCGATCGGAACGCCGCTCACTGCTGCCGGGCCGCTTTCAGGGTAAATGTTATGTGTGGAAGATCAACGACGAGAGCACCGGCCAGCCACGCTTCCAGGCCGTCACGAAGTTCCAAGCGCATAATAAGTATCTCACACGCTGCCTATTAAGCCCGGATGTAAAGTGCGTGACACGCCGGTGTGTGTGCGCGCCCCGAAGCGCATGGATATCTGATGCGCTTCTCAATTTTGCGTTACAGGTACCTCGCGACGTGCTCGGCGGACACGACGGTCAAAGTGTGGTCGATCTCGCCACACTACGAGTTTAAACTGGAGAAGGTGCTGCAAGGACATCAGCGATGGGTTTGGGATTGTGCTTTCAGCGCAGACTCGGCATACTTGGTGACTGGTGCGTACGCAATTATCTATGCATTTGTCTACGATACAGTCGCTCGTCCCCACCCATTGTCGGCCGCCGCTCCCAGCCACTAGATTTTTTCCCTGAATGCCGTCGTTCTGATTCGCGTCGTGTGTAGCCTCGTCCGACCACACTGCGCGCCTGTGGGAGATGGCGTCGGGGTCGACTGTGCGGCAGTACAACGGTCATCACAAAGGTGAGGCGTGCCTCTATTTCTTGACGAACGTTCCCCTGAACTCTATATGCAGCTGCGGTGTGTTGTGCGCTGCATGACGGTGCAGGTTGACTACTCCCATAACGCGAGATCGGAGCAGGACCCCTCAACGTCGATGTAACTTGACGTCTGCGGCGCCCCCACGGGGTTCGATGATTGCGTCGGTCGTCGCGTAGAGGCCGGAGGCGGAGTCTGTTGCTATTTAGCCTGCTATAAAATTGTATGTTCTAATATACCTTTCTGCTGGAGACAACGAGGGGACCGTGACGTGCGCCTTGCTCCCGAGGGTACGCCGGGCGCATCGCCGGAGAAGCTTTTGGGTTTTCTCCACGACATCGCTGCCATGCGGGTCTCATCAGGTCGTGTAAAATGTTACATATGAAGATATACGGGTTTTCAGGATGATCGAAACCGAGCTCGGCGCTGAGATCTGAGACCTTGCTGTATGTACAAATTCCCAAGAGCATCCCAAGAGCGCTAGTACTTCACTCGCAGCACTCCTTCCTGAATCCTAACTGATTGTCCTCACCCACTGACTTCAAGACGTCGGCGGAGGCACTCTCGCCCTCGCTCTCCGACTCTGTGCACGACTATCGGAATTTTGCGTACAACCGGTGACCGTACCTGTAGGCTTCGATGTCTGCTTTCAAGCTCGCGATGAGCACGCCAGTCGCCTTCCGTCGGCCGTGAGCTTCAGCAACAACGCCGCGCGCGCTTGCGGCTGGGTTTAAGGCGCCTTCGGAGCAAGTCGGGCCGGAGATGCCACAACTTGGAGGAAAGGATTGGCTGCGAACGCTCTCGGCCGGCGCCAACCGATAAGCCGATGCGGCCACCCGTGCCTCCTGTTTGACTCGCTTGCCACTGCATACGATCCCGCTGCATCCCGCTAGCGGGTCTTCAAAATTTCGACGGACAGTGCACGGACGCGCCTTGTCTCCCGCCTCCATCTCTCCGCTCGCTGCTGCTGCTGCTGGCCGTCAAGAGATCAAGGGTTCCATGGCTATCACTGCTAAAGATGATCTCGACCACTATCTCGACCTGCCTCTAGTCGAAGATCACGCATCTCCTGAGGCTATTGCCTCCTTTAACGCGGTTCAGCGCGATCCTGACTCCTGGTCGGGATCGCTGCCTGCTAGCCAAGGCCTCTACCGCAACGACTTTGAGAAGGATTCTTGCGGTGTTGGCTTTATCTGCCATATCAAGGGCGAGGATTCGCACAAGATCGTCAGCGATGCTCGGCAACTTCTCTGTGCCATGACCCATCGCGGTGCTACTGGCGCTGATAGCCGCGACGGTGACGGCGCAGGCGTCATGACAGGCATCCCGCATCAATTCTTCAAACGGGAGGCAGAGCGCGATATCGGCAGCGCCCTTCCCGAGCCGGGCGAGTACGCCGTCGGAAATGTCTTTTTCAAGCCCAACGACGCCGTTCAACTCCAAAAGCAGCAATCCGTCTTCTCTCGTCTTGCCAGCGACCTCGGTCTGCGTGTGCTTGGCTGGCGCGAGGTGCCAACCGACGGTTCTATCTTGGGTCCTGCTGCGAGCAGCAAGGAACCTGTCATCCTCCAGCCATTCGTCGTCTTACGCTCTCATTACGGCGACGGAGTCCAGAGCTCCAACGGACCATTCGACCCGAAGCACTTTGAGCGGCAGCTCTACGTACTTCGCAAACACGCGACACACACCATGTAGGTCGAATCAACCCTTTTTGGGAGTGGACGAAAGGCTAATCTCTCCGAAGCACACTCGCCAAGGGCTTCTACATCTGCTCGCTCTCCTCGCGCAACATTGTCTACAAAGGCCAGCTTACGCCTCCTCAAGTCTACAACTACTATCATGACCTCAACCACGTTCTTTACCGCTCGCACTTCACACTCGTGCACTCGCGCTTCTCGACCAACACTTTCCCCTCGTGGGACCGCGCACAGCCGATGCGCTGGGCTGCTCACAACGGTACGCACGTCCTCAGCCCAATCCTTATCCTTTATCTTATCTCGATCCAGGCGAGATCAACACCGTCCGTGGGAACAAGAATTGGATGCGCGCTCGCGAGGGCATCCTGAGCTCCACCCTCTTCGGCGACGAACTTGACTTGCTGTTCCCCATCATCGAGGCCGGCGGGTCCGACTCGGCTGCCTTTGACAACGTTCTCGAGCTCCTAGTCGTCAATGGTGTCCTTACCCTACCGGAGGCTGTCATGATGCTCATTCCTGAGGCATGGCAGAGTAACGAGAATATGGAGCCGGAAAAGCGCGCCTTCTACAACTGGGCCGCCTGTCTTCAGGAGCCGTGGGATGGTCCGGCGCTCTTCGCGTTCTCCGATGGTCGCTACTGCGGCGCCAACCTCGACCGCAACGGCCTTCGCCCGTGTCGCTTCGTTGTGACGAATGAGGACATCATGGTCTGCGCATCCGAGGTCGGCGCCGTCTTCATCCCGCCGGAGAAGGTCGTTTCGAAAGGCCGCCTCAAGCCCGGTCGCATGTTGCTCGTCGATACCCTCGAGGGCCGCATCGTCGACGACAAGGAGTTAAAGTTCAACACTGCGCGCAAGCAGAACTTCGCATCGTGGCTAGAGAGCAACCTTCTCACGGTACCTAACATTGTGAAGCGCGTGCAGCGCATGCAATCGGTCGACGCAACGATTGATTCTTCGGCTTTGAGCACCGACCCGCGACTTCTGTCTTTCGGCTTCACGGTCGAGCAACTCAACCTCCTGATGTTGCCCATGGTCACCGACGGTAAGGAGCCCTTGGGCTCTATGGGTAACGATGCCCCACTCGCTGCGATGGCCACGCAGCCCCGCATTATTTACGATTACTTCCGTCAGCTCTTCGCACAGGTAAGCGCCTGAGCGTTCTATCTACGGGTTGAAACTCATGGGCGTCTAGGTCACGAACCCCCCTATTGACCCTATTCGTGAGAGTATCGTCATGTCCCTCGAGGCCTACGTCGGACCGGAGGGCAACCTACTCGAGATGAAGCCCGAGCAATGCCACCGCATCAAGCTGTCGTCGCCAGTTCTCTCGATTGAGGAGATGAACGCCATGAAGAGTCTCAAGTTCGCGTACGCCACCTGGCCCTCGTGCACCATTGATATCACTTTCGCCAAGGCTGACGGCCTCCCTGGCTACAAAGCTGCACTAGACCGCGTCTGCGAGGAAGCGACGCGTGCTATCGATGAGGGCTTCAAAGTCGTTGTGCTCTCAGACCGCGCCACTTCGGCCGACCGCATTGCGCTCTCTGGTCTCATTGCTTGCGGTGGCGTTCACCAGCATCTGGTCATGCAGAAGAAGCGCGCCAAGATCGCACTGCTCATTGAGACCGCCGAAGCTCGCGAGGTTCACCACATTTGCGTGCTCCTCGGTTACGGCGCGGACGCCGTCTGCCCGTGGCTCATGCTTGAGGCCATCCACAAAGTCTACCGCGAGGGCCTGTAAGTATATCTTATCTTCACACCTTGAGGCTATGCTGACGGTGATTATAGCGTCAAGAACGACGCGCCGCTCAAGACCCTCATCGACAACTACACGCACTCGATCGACAACGGCATTCTCAAGGTCATGTCGAAGATGGGTATCTCCACGCTCCAGTCATACAAGGCTGCGCAGATCTTCGAAGCGCTTGGTCTGCACCACGAGGTTATCGAGCGTTGCTTCACCGGTACTGCGAGTCGCGTCGAGGGCGCGACTTTCGACCTACTCGCGATGGATGCGTTCGAGCTTCACGAGCGTGGCTGGCCTTCGCGCGACACCATCGTTCCTCCCGGTATGCCGGAGTCCGGCGAATACCATTGGCGCGACGGTGGCGAGCCGCATATCAACGACCCGACGGGCATTGCGAACCTCCAGGATGCTGTGCAGGAGAAAAACCGTAAGGCTTTCGAGACGTACTCCAACAACGCCAACAACCAGGCGAAGGGAGTTCATCTTCGCGGCATGCTTGAGTTCAAGTTTGAGAATGCGACGCCGATTCCGGTTGACCAGGTTGAGCCATGGAATGAGATTGTTCGCCGCTTCGTCACGGGTGCTATGTCCTACGGTTCCATCTCTATGGAAGCTCACTCCACGCTCGCCATTGCGATGAACCGCCTGGGGGGCAAGTCGAATACCGGAGAGGGTGGCGAGGACGCCGAGCGTAGCCAAGTCTTCCCCAACGGCGACACCATGCGCTCCGCTATCAAGCAGATTGCTTCGGGTCGTTTCGGCGTGACCTCCAACTACCTTGCAGACGCGGACGAGCTTCAAATTAAGATGGCGCAGGGCGCAAAGCCTGGCGAGGGCGGTGAGCTTCCCGGCCATAAGGTCTCGGCGTCTATCGCGCGTACGCGCCACTCAACCGCAGGCGTCGGCCTTATCTCCCCTCCGCCGCACCACGACATCTATTCGATCGAGGACCTGAAACAGCTCATCTACGACCTTAAGTGCGCGAATCCGCGCTCTCGCGTCTCCGTCAAGTTGGTGTCCGAGGTTGGCGTCGGCATCGTCGCCAGCGGTGTCGCCAAGGCCAAGGCGGATCACATCTTGATCTCTGGTCACGATGGTGGCACCGGCGCTTCGCGCTGGACCGGTATCAAGAACGCTGGCCTGCCATGGGAGCTTGGTCTCGCCGAGACGCACCAAACGCTCGTGCTCAACGACCTTCGCGGCCGCGTCACTGTTCAAACTGACGGTCAAATTCGTACGGGCCGCGACATTGCTATCGCCTGTCTACTCGGTGCGGAGGAGTGGGGCTTTGCAACCGCCCCGCTCATCGCCATGGGCTGCATCATGATGCGCAAGTGTCATTGTGCGTGTTTTCTTCGTACTCACTCTGTCGTGAATGACTAAGCCAGCTCTCTAGTGAATACGTGCCCGGTCGGTATCGCTACGCAGGACCCTCAATTGCGCGCCAAGTTCGCCGGCCAGCCCGAGCACGTCATCAACTTCTTCTACTATCTTGCAGAGGAGTTGCGCACGATTATGGCCAAGCTCGGCTTCCGTACAATCAATGAGATGGTTGGCCGCGCCGACATGCTCAAGGTTGATGAGTCCGTCCGCCAGATCAAGACGGCGAACCTCGACCTCTCGGCCATCCTCCGCCCCGCATGGCAAATGCGCCCCGGCGCCGCGACCCATCGCGTTCGCTCGCAGGACCACAAGCTCTACATTCGCCTCGACAACAAGTTCATCGATGAGTCTGAGCCTGCGCTTACCAAGGGTCTTCCCGTGCACATTGAGTGCGACGTCACGAACACGGACCGCGCGCTCGGCACGACTCTTTCGTACCGCGTCTCCAAGCTCTACGGCGAGGAAGGACTTCCCAAGGACACCATCCATATTCGTATGCAGGGCTCTGCGGGTCAGTCATGCGGCGCCTTCCTTGCGCCCGGTATCACCATCGAGCTTGAGGGTGACGCCAACGACTACGTCGGGAAGGGTCTCTCTGGCGGTCGCCTGATCGTCTACCCGCCCAAGCAGTCAACCTTCAAGGCGGAAGAGAACGTCATCATCGGCAACGTTTGCCTGTACGGCGCGACGTCAGGCGAAGCTTTCGTCCGCGGTATCGCCGCCGAGCGCTTCGCTGTGCGTAACTCTGGCGCGAACGCCGTCGTGGAGGGTACGGGCGATCACGGTTGCGAGTACATGACCGGTGGCCGTGTTGTCGTACTTGGTACGACTGGTCGCAATTTCGCCGCCGGTATGTCTGGTGGTATCGCCTACGTGCTCGACACTGCGCACACGTTCGCCTCCAAGGTCAACATGGAGATGGTCGAACTTTCGAAGGTCACCGAGCCCCGCGAGATAGCCGAGTTGCGCTCTCTCATCGAGGACCACCGTCACTTCACTGGCTCCGAGGTCGCGGACCGCGTCCTGCGTGACTTCCATCACCTCCTGCCGCTCTTTGTGCGCGTCATGCCGTTTGACTACAAGCGCGTGCTCGAGGAGCAGGCCGCCAAGGCTAAGGAGGAGAAGGCACGCCAGAGCGTTATCGATCTCGTCCCCTCGCGTACTGCCAGCCAGGTCGACCTCGCGTCTGGTGAGATCGAAGAGATCCTCCAATCGAAGGAGCACCTCCACCCGCACCCGCACAAGAAGTCGGAGCCTGCCGTCGGGGATCTCGAAGACTCGCTCGTGGACGAGTCCGCGACCAAGCAGCGTCTTAACAAGCTCGACAAGACCCGCGGGTTCATGAAGTACAAGCGTCTCAATGAGGCTTACCGTCCTCCGCGCAAGCGCACCAAAGATTGGAAGGAGATCTCTACGCGTCTGACTGAAAGCGAGCTCAAGTACCAAACTGCGCGCTGCATGGACTGTGGTGTTCCCTTCTGCCAAAGCGACTCAGGCTGCCCTATTTCCAATGTCATTCCTAAGTGGAACGACTTAGTCTTCAAGAACCAGTGGCAGGACGCGCTCAATAGGCTTCTGCTCACGAACAACTTCCCGGAGTTCACCGGTCGCGTCTGTCCAGCGCCGTGCGAGGGCGCGTGCGTACTCGGGATCAACGAGGCGCCCGTCGGTATCAAGAGCATCGAATGCGCGATCATTGACAAGGTCCGTCATTGCCCCCTGTCCCTTCATTATAGATCTGATTGCTGAACGCTGTTTCTCCAGGGCTTCGAGATGGGCTGGATGGCGCCCCGCATCCCACATTTCAGCACGGGCAAGTCTATCGCTATTATTGGCTCTGGTCCCGCCGGCCTCGCGGCTGCAGACCAGCTCAACAAGGCCGGTCACAAGGTCACCGTGTACGACCGCAACGATCGCATGGGTGGCCTGCTCATGTACGGGATCCCGAAGTTCGTCTTCTCTCACTTCCTTCACACGGCCTAGGATCCTCATGGTTTTGACTTTCATCCCAGCATGAAGCTTGACAAGCAGGTCGTACAACGCCGCATCGATCTCATGGCCGCCGAGGGTGTCGTATGTTCCCCGTTCATTATCGGCTTTCGCTCCATACCGGGTACTAATACCGATCTTTAGACATTCGTGCCGAATACCCACGTTGGCGTAGACTGCGACGTCGAGGAGCTTCGCTCTGAGAACGACGCCGTCATCCTTGCTACTGGCGCAACGTGGCCACGCGATCTCAAGATCCCCGGCCGTGAGGCCGACGGCATCCACTTCGCCATGGAGTACCTGCAGGTCCGCATATGCGTATATGTGATTGTGGACAGCTACTGATCCATCTTTACAGCTTAACACGCAATCACTCCTCAACTCGCAGCTTCAGGACAGCACGTACATCAATGCGAAGGGCAAGGACGTTATTGTCATTGGTGGCGGCGATACCGGTAACGACTGTATTGGCACTGCGATGCGTCATGGCGCCAAGTCGGTCACCAACTTCGAGCTGCTCCCCAAGCCACCGACATCGCGCGCTCGTGACAACCCTTGGCCGCAATGGCCGCGCATCTTCCGCACGGACTACGGCCACACCGAGGTTGCCGCCCACTTCGGGAACGGTGCGTACTATCAAGCTATATAAAGAGAGTTGGGTTCTGATGGTCATTCAGACCCACGCGAGTACTGTATCTCAACGAAGGAGTTCGTCCTTGACGCCGAGGGCAAGCTTCAGGGCCTCAACACAGGTTCGGATTCATATGTCCACTTCATATGAATCACTTGTTGACCTTTACGTGTAGTTCGCGTTGAGTGGACGAAGGACAGCGGCGGTCGCTGGAAGATGGAGGAGGTTCCTGGATCGGAGAAGTTCTTCCCCGCACAGCTCGTCTTCCTCGCTCTGGGCTTCCTCGGACCTCAGCCTGAGGCTATCAATGCCCTCGGTGTCAAGCAGGATGCGCGCTCGAACATCCAGACCGCTCCTAAGAAGTACAGCACCTCGGTCGAGGGCGTCTTTGCCGCGGGAGATTGCCGTCGTGGGCAGTCGCTGATCGTCTGGGGTATTAAGTAGGCTTTTGAGTTCACTCCCATGTTGAGGGTACTTTGCTGACTTCATTCACTAGCGAGGGCCGCGGCGCCGCTGCTGAGGTTGACACTTGGCTTGTGGGCAACACGCGTCTTCCCAAGGCGGGAGGCATTCAGCCCAGAGTACGTCAAGTTCTTAGACGATCTTACATATCTGTACTAACTCTCCCAACAGCATTACGTCCAGCCCCCGCCCACAGGTAAGACTGTGGCGGTACGCGCGTAAAAGGCGTCTCTGTCTGCGCCATTCTTGGATTGCGGTTGCGTCTGATTTGTCTTGGTTTGGACGACGGTTTCCTATCCTGTATCTGCTACGCCACGACTGTTACGTTCTATCACTATGTCCGACTCTGTCTCCACCTGTATCATGTAGCTCTATACGTCTGTTGTTGCAATTTCATCTTCATCTCTGTTGTATACCCACCTATGCATCGGAACCTTCATCAGGTGCGAGGGGCCCAGGAGTATGTAGATGTAGAAAGAGAGCCTGGCGATCCTCTGCAGATCCTGCCTCTTGGATGAACTCTGTATATGGGTATGATCCACTCTTTGCTCTCATAGGTGTTGAACGCTGACGCGGTGACAGGGTGACCCCGGTTATGAACTCATTTGCGCCAAGGATATTGAATTCTGGAGCGACGAGCCTGCGCAGATATCATCCTCTTACGGTGGCCAGCGCTGGAAATGCTACTGGTCCGTCAGATATCATAGCGGCAGCTCACAGCCGCCGCTGAAGTTGAGCGACTCCTTTCGCGTCAATGATATCGATCTGCGAGTGGGTGAACGGAAGACTATCGATGTTGACACTGCATGATCTCTCGGTCTATCTTCCTAGGGTTAGGGTTACGTTAATTAGCCATGTTAATAAACCAGTTAAAAGGGTAACCCAAGTACACCTCTCCTGTGTCGAGCAGGAGGGAGTCTCTGGTACTCGTGAGGCGTCGAGAAATGTTCGCGTCGATCCTCGTAGCACCGCGCACGGCATCCAACTTCCGGATGTCGTGGGCACAGCCTGAGCTTGCCCAAGAACTGTCATCCACTCCCGCAGAGACATTCGTTGCAACTCAAGCTCGCTGAAACAGATACATGTCGCGTTCGTTTTCTTGTGGGCAAGGCTTTGGAAGGGCTTCACCGACGCCTCAGTCGGCTCTGAAGAGCGAAGGAGACTGCGCAGTGGTCGCGCACGGTTCACCCATCACTCCGGCGGCCGGCCCGACTTGCACCGGTCGACACGGGGGCGGCTGGGAGTTCGATCCCGCCGTCAGACAGCGCCGGACTCGGACCCTCGCCGTCGCCTGCGATGGTTGGAGTGGTCTTGTGGGTCTTGACAACCAGCAGCTCAGGAGTGTACCCTAGTCTAGGGTTAGTTAAAGATCTACGGGCCCAGGACCGGCCATTGTTAACAGCGTATATTAACACGGTTAATTAACGGTTAAAAATGCTTAGTCAAACATGGACCATTATTCACCGCGCCTTAACGGACCTTAGTGAGCACTGAGTACTTGAGTGCTCGGCGAGAGAAACCAATTATCCAACGTAACGCGGCGGGAAAGACTGTTTGTGACGAGTTCGAGTTTTCTTCGTACGACTTCGTTCCCAATAAATTTGAAGCGCAAGCTGCGCTCGTTTGACACGCTTTGCATAGTATCCTGAGGCGCAAATGAACCCATTGCGAGCGCAGCGCGGCATAAACAGTTTGAAAGCCTCAGATCTTCAACAGTGCGAGCCAGCGGGGCATGTACTTAGTGGATACCTATCCGCAGGAATTCCAAACGATGTAGATTACCCCAGATCCCAGATTTCTTCCTGCCAGCCGGCTCAGGCGGTTGTGGGAGGGTGATGCTGAGCTCTGGTTGGATGAAGACGCCTGCGATCACTGTTCCCGTCAGTGCATTTGGGTCTGGAATAATCTACATCGTGTGCAAATCCTACGGATAGGTATCCAGTAGTTGAAGGCAATTAATTGAAGGCAATCTTGAAACTAACACGGGAAATCAAGAACCGGTGATAAGATCAAGAGACCCGCCGGCAGACGCCGGAACTACGAACGCGTCGCGTCGACGCGTTCACTTTGTCTCTTCCTGCGTTCAGGAATGCTATGTTATCTTCGCGCGAACTCTCAGTGCATGCTGTGCACCGAGTGGATGTGGTTGAACCACCAGCTTGATGGTACCTTGCTGCTTCTCAGCTACGGCCTTCCTTTGCGCAATGAGCCTCGTGCCGCTTCACGCGATCAACCACACGAGTGGTTTGCGTATATTATAGGCTGCTCGCGACATGTCTGAGTCCTCTTGATGCTCTCCTTCACCTTTCGTGTGTCCAATGTCTTCTATCCCTGGCTCGAACTCCTCGAGCTCTCGCTCCGCCTCGCCCTCACGTCCGGATGAGCAAGCGGAATCTTCCTCAACATCGGCATCCCTACCTCGCTCTACCACACCAGAGAATCATGCTATCGACAACGGACTTGCAGAGTCTACTCCTGCTCGCCCAAGGAAACCACGAGAGTTTGACGTGACGAACGACAAGGACGCAGGAGTCAGAAGGCGCGAGCGTTATGATCAACAGGCGTGTCATACAGAGGGACAGAGTCAGGGCCCCGTCCCTATGAGCATACTCGTAGAGGAGCTGCGCCGGCTTATTTCGAGTGGATCTAATGGCATGATGGTCCAGTTGGCTGAAGGCGTCAGTAAAACGGATTTCTTCGCCAGAGTGCCACAGAAAAGTGGTGGGGAGAAAGAGCTGGTATGTCCCTGCTGTTGGCGCTATGGAGTTCCTATTGCTTATTGAGACTCATCTGTAGTACGAGGCTATCAAGGAAAGCAAACTTTGTACTCGATTAGTGCCCATGGACTCCATGCCACCGATCTTCTGGATCACAGCACAGGCGAACAGTTCAAACCGGACTTTATCTTGCTCACTCGCAATTTCGGAAAAGACAAGAAACCCGCGAACAGGACAGCGCTTGGTTGCACTGTTCTGATCATAGACGTCAAGCGTAGAGGTCAGGACCCGTATGGTCAAGTGTCGGGTGCCAAGGATGCCAGGCGCGATACCGAGGACCGTAGAGAACCACCGTAAAGCACTGCACTACTGAATAGGATATCTCGGATTCAACAAAGAGTGCTAAGGTAACTTGCCCTTTCACTTTCACGTGTATGTGACCCAGTAGTCGCGCCGATCGTTCAGACGACTCACGTATCATACCTGGTACGTCGTCAAACAAGGCCGTACACATCACGCCCCTCGTGACCCAGCAACCTTCAGTCGGCATGGACGGCCTGTCTCACGGCGCTATCTGGCTCTCACTGACCAGGATGCGGGACTAAAGGTTTCTGGTGTCTTATTATTTAAAGTGGATCTTATGCAACGCTTATCATATCCATATAACTAACGAGCACTAGACTACATTTACATAGACAACGAAGATGATAGTCAACGTCCTCGACGTGAACGAGCAGATGCACCAGCCGATGCATTCTTATCGGCAGAGAGACGACGAGCTTTTGCTGCGGGTGTCGTCTCGCCTTCGGTGTCGCTCATACGTTTGCGGCTGGAGCGCGAATTGTCGAGGATTTCTCCGCGGTTTGGTGCACAGGTTTGATACTGGTCGACCGCGCAGTCATCCGGTAGCCAATCTAGCTCTGGATACTCGGGCATGTGATAATGGTGTAGCCAGTGTCGGAATCGTGATGCGACGTAGTTGGATGATTGCAGACGCTGCTGACACGTCGCCAACTCGTCCCTGTACTGTTGCGCCATCTCGGGATGAAGATCCCGACCCGCAAGATCCACCAGTGGTTTCGACTTGTATAGGGGGGCGAACGCTTGACGTACGTCGTTCATCAGAGCGGACAGCGCGAGTGGCTTTACATGCTCCGCGACGAATTCGGAGGAGAAAGGACCATCGCCAAGGAGCACTTTCGGTTTGTCCAAACTTCCCACGACGTCCGATTGTCCCGCCGGCAGGGCGAGATCGAATACGTCGTGCAAGCCGGCAAGCAACTTCTTCCTCTCGGGTGCGTCGGGCCTGATGGGCCTGAACCTGAAGACGTGGTAGAAGAGAACGTGCACGAAGGATTCGAGGTCGTCGCACAACAAGTGTTGCCGAGGTTTCGAGCCTTGCAATAAATGGGCCGATATAAAGCGCCAAGTACCCTACATGACGACGATTGAGTTCTAAGGTAGTGATAGGTGAATAAAGCACATACAATCTTCTGTCCAACTCGTTCAACTTCATTCTTGTTTTCAAGCCATACACACATATCCCAGTCAATGAGCATGCCACGACCGTCCTTGTCTATAAGGATGTTGCCGCCGCTTATGTCACGATGAAGAACCTGGGCTGATTCGCACGCCTTGCCATGTGCTGGATACTTATATGAGCCATTTGTCCATGTGAAGAAAATGGGATTGCACACCCTCAATTGCGTCAAGCAAGGCGATACACAGCTGACGAGTGCTTTTGAAAGCCCTCAAAGGACGTCCGATGTGTTTGAATAATAGGCGGTGGTGAACGTATAGACGCATCTTCTTGCCGGGAGCATCGCCTGACCGACTATACTCGGGATGCGTCGTGACAATGTCGTATGTACAGTCCGTTGTTTGATAGACGACAGCTGCCTTTGTCTGCGGGGAAGGAGAAGACATTGTTGGAGTGTTGAGCGGTACATCGCCCCCTAGATAGAAGCCTGCGAGCCGCGGTATATCCTTCTTGCCCAATCTCTTGTACGTCGCAGCCTCCGGCTCCGTGCTTGACGTTTGAATTCGCCAGGTATCCTTGGCGTAGACTACGCCCTCATCGTCGAGGTCCACGCCGTAGAAACCGCGCGTCGCGCGACCGGTGAAGCATTCGGCAGATGATATTGCGCGATGCACGACGACACGATGAAACTTCTCCGCTTCATCGTCATAAACGTGCATGAGGGACAGATAGCCCTGATGGTTGGGAGGGATGACGGCGGACTTCTTCACGCCTGGCGGTAGAGTGTCGCAGCGTGCGAGGATCTCTTTGGCCCGCAGGACTTCTTCAGAGTCGGGTGCGATGGGCGCAACTGACATGTCGCAACCGCGCTCGGCAGCAGACATGTCGTCAAAGCTCACGAGGAACTCTGCGAGATCGCCCGAAGTGCGCCATGCGAATAGCTCGGAGTATACAACACCGGTGTGGTCGAAACGCGTGAGGCGGCCGAGCTCAGGCATGAGCACAAAGGCGTAGACAGCCATACGATGCGAGTTCGCGGCAATGGCTTGTACCGTAGCGGCAAGTCTTCCTCGCATGCTTGCGGCCCTGTCGGTGTCTGGCTTTCCGTCGCCGAAAGCACAGGGATCGAAGTCATCGGACGTGAGCGCGCCGAATGCCAGAGTAGAGCTCAGAAGCTCATCGCGCGTCCGGCGGCTGGAGTGGTCCATCGCCAGATCTTGGGAGAGAAGTGTGAAGTCGAGCGAGTGATACATGTCGCCAACGTGGTCTTTACCGTGCACGTCGTGTGCGGCGCGGGGAAAGATAGTCTTGCAGAGGCCACTCTCGCGGATACAATCTCCCTGTAGTGATATAATCAGTTCCCAACAATGATCTTAGGATATCGCTGGGGGATAACATACAAACTTGGCTTGGCCATTCTCTCTGGGGACCGACGTGAAGTCGACATGACGTGTGGCGACATTGCTTGTCGGAGGCAAGAAGTGTTTCCTCCATTCGGTAACTGGCACAGGTCCAGTCCAAAGACCATCCGTAGATTGCGCATGGTCGCGATAGAGGTCACAGAGTTGTGCTTCATTGGCCAGATCGCAACGGCAGTGGTTCCCAGTGTGGTAGAAAGAGCCGTTCATGGATGTAGGAGGCGTATCATCAGAGAGCAGGGAGGTGCGCGAAGATGAGGCGCAAGATGACAGAGTCTCGAGGCTGGGAGAGTTGCGTAGAGAGTGGGCTGAGGCTGTCATCGATGGGTGGTGGTGGTAGAGGAACAAGCAGAGACCAAACCACAGCGACTTGATGGGCTGGTCAAACACGATCACGTGGGTAAACCACATCGGGACGCACGCGTCGCGATCATGTCCCTCGTCCCGCGCGCTGATGTGTGAACGTTCGGCTGTCTCGGAAGCCATTGACCGTGCAGAATCCTCGCGTAGACTTGGGGGGAGGGGGATTATTGCTATCATACGAGGACACTGCAACACTAGAAATTGCTCTGACCGCGAACCGCTGCGCTACTTATCACGATATTGTCCGTCGTGATACGCTTTCGCATGCCATCGTGCACTATATCTACAGGAGAAATATTCAAGGTCACTGCGCATGGTAATACAAGCATCCAAGCATCGGTTTATACGCGGTGCTTGCGATCCGTAATATAGTCAGCGTGTGCTCTACTTCCTACTGACTACACGATCCTTCGGTACTTGACACCGAGAGAGCCTCACAGTGGCATATTCTCAAGGACTGGCTGCACGAATGTTGTCGCCATCAAGCACTGGCGCTTTCGCGCCGATGGTACCCGTACGGCCGCCTACGCCGAAGGTGAGCGCGACGCCACCAAGATCGCGATCAGTTTTCTCAAGAAGTGTCCAGCTACGACCATCTTTCTTCTTCAGTGTTATGTCGACCTGCGAGAGCGTTTGTCAGATTCTAGGATGACCGTACGTTCAAGACAATCACTCACCTTAGTGCCGAGAATTTTGAAGGATGACGCCTCGGGGTCGATGGGACCGAAAAGATCGATGGTCTTGCTGAAGCGCTTCGAGTCCGGAAGGAAGAGGTCGAGTACTAGTTGTGTCTCCTCGAACTGAACGACGCTGCGATCCTTATCGGTCTTCTTTGCATACACTGAGACTTGTACGCTGTGGGGCGTCTGATAATGATCCATACGGCACGTTATGAGCTCCTCCTGTACAACGCGTTAGCCTACGCTTCGATATGTAGATCTATGTAACCAACCTCATCTTTCGAAGTTTTCCTTGGAACGAAGACATGCCTCCCGACCTTGCAACCCTCAATCTTGAGGAACTCATCAAACTCCAGTACACGCCGCTTACAACAGAAGTAACCCTTGCTACCCTCGTGGAAGATCGGCTGCAGGGAACGTGGTCAGCCGGCTAATCTGGGCGTAGGGCTGGAATTATATGCTCACCAAACCAGGGTGATACGTGCAGACCGTACCGGGGCCATCGCCGATACGATGTTCCTCGTCCGTCTCGTAGACGACATTGCAACCATTGTGTCGACCTAGAGTGCGCATACGCTTGAGAGGAAAGTCGAGATGTAGTTTGAACGGTCACTCACATGTCGTTCCCGACGGGACGGGTGCATTCATATCCTCCTCCTCTTCCTCGGCGAGAACAGCGGGTGCACTCTTCATAGGCACCATCTTCTGTGCGGGCTCCACAGGCTGTACAGGCGCCACTGGTGCCGGTGCCTCAGGGTCGTTCGCCACATTTGCTTCAGGTGCGGCAATGGGCGGTGGTGCGACAGCGGGAGCGGGTGCTGCTTTCGCTTCGACAGCTGAATGTTTGCCAGTGGCGCAACCCTAAACAAGATAAGAACGATCAACTCGCGATTAGATCAGGCAATGAGCGCACCGGAAGCGCCATAAATTCGTCGAACGTCAGCACGGGCTTGTTCACGGTATTACAGCATGACCAGGACTTGAGTCCTTCATGGAAAACCTATAGACATATTGAGGTTCTAAATTATCGCGTGCCGCAAACCGAGCGGGAACGCACAGGCGCGCCGGGATGATAGACGCAGCTCTCCTCCGTATTAGCGTCGTCCTCGTACTCCTTACCGCATCCTTTGTTTGCACACTTCGGCATAGATCAAGTATTTGAGTTCAGGTGTGATAAGTGCACGCTAGCAGAGGATGCGATGGCTGGTGGTGGCGAAGAAGTGAGGTGTGATCGCGAGCGCGCGACGCGACGCGCGCGTAAAGCGCGTCGATAGGTTCTAGCAATTGCTAGATTTGCAAATCCTGTCGGCCCGTTCGCCGCACCGCGCCACTCGATCAAAGAACAAGATGGATAGAGTTGGGTATGCATTGGACGGTCTACAGTATGGATATAGTGGTATAGCAACGGAAGTAGACGAGTGTAGCGTATCGTACTCTATGGGACTAAGATGAAAGCAAGCACACCAAATCATTGAATTTGTATTCCTAAACCTGGTCCGTAGGCTTCCCAGACGAGGAAGCCAAAGCCCCACGGCCCTACGCGGCCAAGAGTCCGAAGCGTCGTATACAGGCGACGTCGCGCGGGCGAGATGTTGCTCGTGCTTTCATGACCGTGATGGGGTGCTCGGAAGAGCGACAAGATCCCATCGTCCGCGATCTTCTTCGCAAGCACAGTCAGCAGCCAGCGACGCGAAGTATGCGTGATTTCTGCCTTCACTTTCTCGACGTGCACGAGCCTCCGCGCGGCATCCCATGGCCTGCACACGAATTCGTACGCAACACCCGCACAAACACCGCCGCCGACAAGCGTCATCCCGTGGACGATGCCCGGTAGATGAATATCCAATGTCCGCCTGGGCTTCTCTTTGCGTCGCGAGTCAACTAGCTTCTGAGCCCATGATGTTGTCGTGACCGATACCCGCCGAGTGCCCTCGAATATGGCGAAGAACACGGAGAAACCACAGACGTCCTTCGCAAGTCCCCATCCCCAACCTCTCCAGCCGCGCCCTGCCATATCGCCGACTTCATTCATCCAGTCGCGCACCCTCCGCGCCTGCTGTGCTGTTTCGGCAGTAGAGTGCGGTGGCTGTATAGCCTGGGCTGTGCGAAAGACCTCCTTCCACGCGTGTGACCATCCGCCCGAACCTCTCTCGATTGCCAGCCGAATATTCTCAGCCGGTGCTGCAACAAGAGCCTGCGTTCCTCCAGCAATCGCGCCAGCAAGGAAAGCATTTCCAACGGGATGCAGGGTGTCTCCGAGAGCCGCGGACACTTCTGAGTAGGATGTCCATAGAACGGTGCCGAGAACCGCGTTCATGACGAGTGGTGGGATGAAGTGTTTCGGTAACACGATCAACTGTCCATTCATATGAGTGCACTAAAGTCTGCCTCATAATGAAATGCACACGTACACCCTTTGCATTCACGAGTTCGCGAATGAAGCGCACATCGACTTCACGGCCATCGCGAGTAGCGAGACCTTTCAATGAAGACCAACCACTGACTGCAGCGATGTGACATGAGATAAAGTAGACTTCAGTAGAGAAGAGTCACGCGCACCTTTCGCAGGTCGAAATAGTCGAACAGGACGAGAGAAGTACAGAGCCGCACTGCGGGCCAGTGTACGTGCAATAGCAGCGGTTATTGCATTGTTGCTCTGGGCCTGCGAGTCCGTGCCAGTATTTCCAGACTCAGGTACAGGTAGCAGTACTGGCATGCGGCTTCATGCACCTCGACGCGACCCGTAAGCAGAGACCTGAAATGGGAGGAGGGAACAAGCTGCTCATCCGCCTCGGCGAACCGGATTCGGGCGGCTCGCGCGGCACAGCGGCAGCTGCCGTCGACGAGACATGTTGTTTGAAATTTGAACCTGACCACCATCTCGGGCATTCTTTACATCGCCATCGTACTGCGTAGTACTCATGAACCAAAGTCGTGCTAGTCTTCGTACTCTATGATTCTAAACTTAAGCCCAGGCCGTGATGATTGATGCGAACAGTGGACCGCTAAAGACAAATAGACGTACACTGACAGCAGCTACTGCTTCGAACTCTACGTCTTTCACCCTGCTTCTTCCACTCGGCATCGTGAGCCAGGACCAGGCTGTGCGAGTGCTCTCTACACATAATCTGTTCCGGCTTCATTTCATTGACACTTGCGTATCAGGACGCGGAACAGCTACAGCTGGATGAAGGCGGGCGCCACAGTGAGCTGTGGACGACCCTGAGCCAGCGAGCGGTGTTCGGAGCGATAGTCTGACCTATTGAGAGCTCGCACTGTCGTGTTCTTGTCCGGCTCTGCTACACACAAAGCCTTCCGAGCAGCAATCATGAGTCTGATCCAAGCCGGCTTGTGCGGCACTTGCCCGCGACGCCCGTTGGCTACCTTTCGGCGCTCTTGTGAGTTAACTGGCTGTATCACACCTTTTGTACAGGCTCGACTCACACATATCAGATGCTATGTATGGATCGAGTCGAACCCGCCTTGTCATGACGACTCATGAGCGTCGGAACCGAAACTGCCCCAGCCGGGAGCATTCATATAAGTTCGTAATTTCGTGTCTATCTCTTCAGGACGGAGCTCACCGGCCACTCCAGTAGGACGCTCGCTACTTCTACACGACAGCAACACGCAATGGCTGCCCTCGACACGAAGACTTACCGCGCCCCTTCCTCTTTCGCCGAGGGTGAGCCCGTAACGAAGAAGCGTAAGCTTTCGCACAAGCCCGTCAACATCACCCAGGGACTTACTGCTCTTCATGGAACAGAAAATATGGGGCCCACCGGAACCACTCAGGATGTCACGCTTCCCCACATGCCCGAACTCTTCCGGTCTGACTTCCTCGACGTCTTGCTTCCTATGGCGAATGCCTCTTCCGAGGCGTCTACATCGACATCTACGCTCGACAACCCAACATTCACAAATCCTCTCATGGCGGCGCTTAAGGCATCCACAAACCAGACCGAGACGTGGAATGGCGCGGAAGCCTTCAAGTCTACGCTCAGCGCTACGCTGGACGCATTTCAGGCGTTGGGGCCTGGGTCGGTCGGAGCAGTGATCGAAGAGAACCTGGCGTCTGCATGGAGGGAGGCTCCCCGACTCGCACTACGCATCATTTGGAACGTACGCAGCATACACGACGGCAAGGGCGAGAAGGAGGTCTTCTATCGGGCTTTCGGGTGGCTCTACAAGAATCATCCCCGTACGGCGATCCAGAACCTACCCCTTCTCGTCACGCCTGCCTGCTCACGCGGCAAGTCGGAGGATGCCAGCATGCCGCACGGCTACTGGAAGGACCTCTCGAATATCCTTGCACTGGCTGCGCGCGACGAGTTGACGCCCCATCAAAAGCCGTTCTGGTTCCTCCACTCTCCTCGCCATGATTGGCGTGAGCAGAAGCGCGCGCGCGAGCGTGGCTGGGTCTCCTTTCCGAGGGAAAAGGAGAAGAAGGCCGAAGCCCTAGGAGTTCGACAGAAGGGATTGGTTGGCAAGCTCGAGTCGAACCATGCGTTCCGCGCTCTCTACATCATGGTCGCCCGTCTCTTCGCCGGGCAGCTCGTTAAGGACTTGTCCGTACTTGACCGTATGGCTGATCATAAGCCAGGCAGCGACGAGTACCGGGGCCTCTCCCTCCAGCTGTCACTCGCCGCTAAGTGGGCCCCATCACCTGGACGCTCGCACGACCGCAACACGAATCTCGCCTCCGCCATCGTCCTTCTGCTCCATACAGCCGGCGTGTCGACCTGTATCGGCAAGCCTATATCAGTCGATGGACCGGTCACCGCGGAGGACATGCACATTCTGCGTTCGTTCTACCAGCGCTGGATCCTCACGCCGCTGCGTCAGACTCTGGCTCTTCCTGAGCCGCTCATGTCCGCGCGCCGCTGGGGGGAGGTGGCATACAACCGTGTCGCGTCGCGGAGCATGTCGGCCAACTCTAAGCATTTCTTCGCGCACGACCCGGATCGCTTCACCGCCTACTTGACCAAGATCGAGAGCGGCAAAGCCAAGATCAGCGGCGCGACACTCATGCCGCACGAGCTTCTGGCAAAGGCAATAACGTACAATAGCAATCCGACCCATCCGCAGCCCTTCGTCGAAACCATGCAACGCGTCGTGGATGCGCAGTGGGCTATACTCGTCGATCGTCTTCGTGAGGCCGGCGCACTCGATAACACTCTTGCTGTTTGCGACGTCTCTGGTAGCATGGGTAGCCTCTGGTACACGGATCGAAAGGGCCCTGTTGAGCCTGTCTTCCCGGCTATCGCGCTCTCGCTCGTACTGGCGCAGCTTGCTCGACCTCCCTTCCACGGTGGCTTCATCACCTTCTCGAGCAAGCCGGAGTTTGTCGAGGTCAATGTCGAGCGGGATGGATTGGCCACTACCGCGCAGAACATGGTCGGAGCAGCATGGGAGATGAACACGGACCTCAATGCCGTCTTTGTCGATCTGTTGCTTCCCCTCGCCGTCAAGCACAAGGTGCCGCGCGAGGACATGGTCAAGCGTCTAGTTATCTTCTCGGACATGCAGTTCGACCAGGCTAGTGGCGGCGGGACGAATCACGAGGCGATCAAGCGCGCTTACGCTGAAGCCGGATACGATGTGCCGCAAATTGTGTACTGGAACCTTGCCGCGCACAGGGCAGGACGTTTGGAGGCGCTTCCGGTGACGGCGGACACGGAGGGTGTGGCGCTGATGAACGGGTTCTCGGCAGCTATGCTGAAGGTGTTTATGGGTGAGGCCGAGGAGACGGAGGATGGGGAGTGGGGCATGGTTACGGAGGATGGAGAGGTGGAGGAGAAGAAGGCTGATGCGTTCGACCCTGTGAGCGTTATGCGGAAGGCATTGCTAAAGAAGAGCTTCGACGGACTGGTTGTTGTTGACTGAACTAATCTCCCTTGTACGATATTTCACACTACTCATTATTTACTGTACCCTCATACTCCATACTCCATCCTGCGCCATATCCCCCACTCGCACCATATCTGTATCTATAGCACCGAGACATATCATCACATTTCAATCAGTATCTACAACATGCCCCAGTCGAGGCGTTCGTCCCGTAAAGATGTTTCTGGTAACGATGATGTTCACAAAGTTGTGGAATGCTGGCCATAAAGGTTTTATACATGAAGCAACAATCAGTTCATGAGATCAAACGGACAGAGCCCTCACAGGACACCCTTCGTGCTTGGGACATCACTGCCTCCAGTTCGCTCGATAGCTTGACGGATGGCAATCGCGAGAGCTTTGAACGCGGACTCGGCACTGCACACAACATCAGCAGGTAGTAGATACATAACGGCTTTCCATGAACGTACCGATGATGATCATTGGCTCCTCGCAAGACGTCGATGTGCAGCGTGCATCCAGACGCCATGGCAAAGGAGTAGAATATGTGAGGGAACATCTCCGTGCTGAGGTCGCCTATCTTCTCGCGTTTGATTCCAAGATCTGTAAAGCAGTATGGCCTCGAGCAGATATCGATCACAGCGCGAGAGAGTGCCTGTCCCAACTGGGTGAGTGTTTACTATGGAAGGCGATGACTGGTAGGCGTACCTCATCAAGAGGTGCAAAGCCAGTTCCATAGCGCCTGATACCGCGCACTTCACCAAGCGCTTCTTTGAATGCTGTTCCAAGAGCTATAGCAGTGTCCTGTAGACGCAGGGGAGCATCAGGACGAGCGATAAGGACGAATTCATCGGGACGCGGACGTATCAGCTGTGTGGTGGTCGTCTATCCAAAGATCGCCTTTGGCCTTCAACGTCAGAGACATCCCAGAGTGCTTGGCTAGCGCGTTATACATCTACGCCAGTATCATTGCCGTGCGCTTGCGAGGCCCAAGAATAGATGTACATGGTCAAGGAAGCCGATGCCGGTTGAGATGTCGATGACCTGCGCATTCTGCGATCCTGGTTGGCAATCGAGGTTGATAGACACCTCAATCTCAGTCTCATTCGTCTTGCGTTTGATAGTAGCCGTGCGCGCTTCCATGGTGTACTCGTGAGCAATGGTGGAGGATGAGAGAAGAAGCTCGCGGAGGTCCTGCGAAGAGTGAACTTTCGGCTAGGAGCACTCGGCTTCGCGGTCCGATGACCGATGAGCGCGTCTACATGAACGCGTCGCGTCGCGTCTTACTTGCAAACCACGACCATGGCGTCCGAAGACACAGATACACTACTTGCCATACTTGCCAGCCTTCTACCTGAACCTACACCTACACATGATAAACTTTTGGATGCTCTTGTACGCGCAGAAGGGGACGTCCAGGCTGCCGCGGAGCTTCTGACCTCAAGTTCGGGGTCAAACCGTTGTGCTTTCCCATCATTCTCTCAGAATGCCAGCCCGAGCCAAACCGACGGGACCCCAAGAGGGCGAAAGAGGAAGGGTCTCGATACCTGGCTACAGTCTGATGATACTGTACCTACGAAGTCACGACGGACAACATCCCAAGAACGAGTCTGGGAGCCTCCGGGGCCTATCAAACCTCCTTCGTCTACACGCCTAACCAGCAACTCTTCCCATAAGACAAAGAACGCGTTCGATATATTATATCAACCATACCGTGCGCGGTCTCCTTCCCCGTCCAAGGTTGCTCCATCCTCGGGCGATGCTTCTCTCAAACCTCCGTCAAGATCAAAGCGACCGCCGTCCTCAGCAGAGAAGCCTGCGCTGAGCGTCAACGATGTGCTTCGTCCGCCACCCTCGACAGCTCACAATCCACAGCGATATCCACCGCTGACTCTATCTACGCCTGCACTCATTGCCCAGCATACGCCTTGTACATTGCACCCCTCCATTCTGCCTCCCAAACTCGCATGCGATGTATTTCATACAATGCTCGTTGAAAGCAAAAACTGGTCACGCAATCGGTGGTATTTGTTCGACAGGCTTGTTGAGAGTCCACATACAACAGCAATGTATACGCGTTCTGGAGACGGTGAGAGCGAGGAAGTGCAAGACCTTCACAAGGTGGCCGCAGACTGGTATGTGTGAAGCCTGCCAGCGTGTGCCAGTTGACTTTACCATGATGAATAGGTATAACGGAGCTAAGAAGGACCCTCCGCGCAAGTTCCCTGAGGTCGTTGAAGAGGCTTGTCGCATTGTCGAAAAGGCGGTCAACGAGGAGATGGCCAAACGGCAACGCTTTCCACTCGAATGGGCGGGAGTACATCCCAGCGATGGCGGAGAGAAAGTGTGTCCTTTGATGAAACTAGCCAGTCTACTCACCTATTCACGCGCTGCGTCATCAATAGATCCTATGGCGGGCAAACTTCTGCGCTGCGAATCTGTATGAGGGAGCCCAAGAAAGCGTCGGGCTTCATTCAGATCGCATTACCTCAATCGGTCCCTACGCAACAATCGCAAGTATCAGTCTCGGTGAGTTCTTGAAGCACCTGCTCGGCCATCTACGTCTGAGTTTGACGTTAAGGTACCACCCGCACTTTTCGACTGCGCGAAGTCATACCGGTTGATGAGCAGGAGATACGCTCGGCTAGGACCTTCAACATTCCGCTATCACACAATTCAGTACGTATTCATTGCCATTCACGCCTTTTCATCTTGTTCATGCCCAGGTAGTTGATCATCATGCATGGGTCAACACAAGAGCGCTTTAAACACGCTGTACCACCTCAAACCGTCCTCGACCGCTTCCGACCGCAGTACCCGCCTCCGCCATCGCTTCCAGACCTGCACGTCGACCCCGGCAATTGCAGAATCAACATCACGTTCAGGTTCTACCGACCTGACTTTCACCCCGACAAGGCGCCTCGATGTGCATGTGGGGGAACCGCCACACTACGACCAGATATGAAGAAACGTCAGCGCGAAACGGCTGAAAGAGGCGAAACGGAGAGACGGGGCGAGGGCGAGTTCAGGTACTGGTGGACGTGCACAGCTGGAGACCAGAACGAAGGGAAGACCTGCGGCTTCTGGAAGGTGATGGATGTACGAGCAGAGGGTAGAGGGCCGCTGGTCATGGACTTGTAGCTCATTTCATGCCATACGAATACTAAGTAGTCAGATTGATCCACTTATCCAGCGTTTGTCATTGGCCCATCACATTTTGGGTCATCCGGCCCGGATGCTACGAGGCAATATGAGGTGCACGCGCTTCAGGGGCACTCGTGAAATCCGGCCATCCACGCTTCGAGCGATGCGGTACTCGCGCGCTATCTCACTGAGCGTGAGCGCTTCTGGTTCCCCTCAACCACCATGGCAGTGCCACAGAAAGTGCGCTCGTCAGAGCGGCAGACCTTGCTGCCTACCAATCGTGCGACGAATCGACCGCGAGTAGGGCACCCGTTCATGCGCGTGCTGCACGCTGTGAGTCCATTCAGCTGTGGCGACAGCTCTATAGGCGCGCTATGATCGCTCATGACAGCTATCATCAGGTTATCTTTGTTACCCTTCTGGTCATCGCCTGGCATACACTCGCACACTCGCGCTTGCCTCATCGTCGACCCTCGACTCCGACCCCTTCGGCGCCTGCATGGCCTGAATCTTTGCGCACGCACTGCGCAAATATCGCACCCATCACCGGCGAAGAGTTTCTATCGCGACAGAATGCTCTCGCCGAAGTCTTGCACAACGCTGGTGGGGCATCATACATCGCCGAACCGGGCGCCAGTGCCGGATACTTCGCCAACCTCAGCGGTCAGGCCTGGGGACTCTCCGAACGACCTCTCCTCCTGATTGTCTCTCCAACCGTGTCCTCTGACAAGGTCTTACCGAAGATCACCATTCTTACACCAACATTCGAAGCGACCCGTGCGAAGGGTCTGGCGCTTGCCGGGAACGACATCGAATACGTCAGCTGGGCCGAGTATGAGAACCCTTTCGAAGTCGCCGTAGGCGCTGGCGTTCTCAGCGCGGATAGTCCGGTGTATGTGGACGGCATGACGAGGCAATTCATCGTTGCGGGCTTCCAGGCTCAGGGTGCTCGCGTTGAAGTTGCCCCAACTGAGGTCAAACTTTTACGGGAACGCAAGAGTGCAGCCGAGATTGAGATATTGAAATGCGTGAACGAGGTCAGTCGTGTGCTCGGATGACAGACTCAACCTGATACTGACCCTCGGAGTCCTCTTTAGGCCACGGTTCTTGCTGTTCGTGCCGTTCGTGAACGTATGCATATTGGCTCTCGCGAATCAGAGGTACAAGCCCTGGTCGCTGATGCGCTGGGCTTCGCTGGGCTTACCGGAGGCTGGGGGCTGGTCCTCTTCGGCGGTATGATTCTCCATTGGGTCCCATGAAAGATTGACTGATAAGACGCAGAAAATGCGGCACTTCCCCACGGCTCGGGTTCTGACCGTGAGCTTGGGCCTGAGGACTTTGCTCTCCTCGACATCGGTGGTTCACTGCATGGCTATGTCTCCGATGTCACTCGCGTGCGTTACTTTACAGCATCACCAATGTAGCCATGGTATTGACCTCGTTCTCTACAGACATTCGCGTTACAAGAAACAAAGTTGTCAAGTCGCCAACTTGACATCTGGAACCTTGTCCAGGCCGCTCAAACGCAAGGGCTTAAGACTGCCGGTGGCGGCGTCATTGCCAAAGATGTCGACGCGGCGGCCCGGAGCGTCATCACAGTCGCAGGACTCGGGAAGTACTTCACACACCGTCTGGGTCACGGAATCGGACTCGAAGTCCACGAAGCTCCGTACCTTGTCGGTGGTTCGAAGGATGTCCTCAGGCCGGGACATACCTTCTCCGATGAGCCTGGTGTGTACATTGAGGGCGAAGTTGGGGTCAGGTTGGAGGATTGCTTCTACATCGACGCGGACGGTTCGGCGGTCTATCTGACTGAAGGTGTGGGTGGCCAAGCGCTTAGCCCGTGGCAACCATAAAATGTTGTATTATCATCTTATGTGCTGGATATCAATCGATCTCTGTCTACCAAGCGCTTTTTGGCACTCCCGATCAACTATACTACGAGGCACAGGCGCGTATCTGCCTTCAAGTCTATCAGTCCTGCAGATAGCCTAGAAGTTTCTCGCCTAAGTTGACCTTCATTTGCGCTGTCATCATCACTATCCGGACTGCTCGCCCACACGAAGGCTTTCGCTGCGTACTAGTAAACGTCAAGACTCAAGGACCTTGACATCATACAGTCCCAGGTTGGATACACACGTTGTCCACCAAATACATATCCGAGTACCTTCCAATGCGAATCCTTCGGGCCGCTTCAGAAGAAAAACATGACATTTCCAAGGTCGTGTACTACGTAGCGAATGGAGTGTCCGAAACGATTGCAAGTTTGTGGATGGTGTGTAGATGATAGGTATCGCAGAGCGGAAAACAGCGTGTGGGGTCTATCGAAAGCAAACAACAGGGGAGCAGATGCACGAAGGTCATAACAATAGATCAAACTTTTTCTCATTCGAAACCGCAAGCCGCGGCATCGCGGTCGACCTCCCCCTCGCAGACAACGCCCCACGTCAACACCCAGCAGCCGAGTGCGATGATGCCGAGGGCCATGGCCCACCAGCCACCGGCTAGTGCGCCGAATAGTGCACTCGCACCCGCGGGTGCGAAGGAGCGCGAAGCGCACATGAAAGTCTGGACGAGCCCATTGGAGGCGCCGAGCTCGCTTGGGCTCGGCGAGGCGCCCTTGACGAGGATCATGCCCGTGGCGTAGGCGAGGCATGCAATTTTGCTGAGACCGAGGAGCGCCGCTATGGCCGTCCATAGCGCTGCGGGAGAGGAGGTGGCGAAAAGCGAGAGCAGGGGCACGCAGAAGAAACAGGGGACCCAGAGAAGGCAGGACATGCGATAGAGACGCGCGAGATCGCACCGCGCGAGGAGGATGGGCGTGATGAAAACCTGGATGAGGCCAGCCATGACACCCGCAAGGGCTAGGGCCATGCCGATCTCCGCTGCCTACATGTAATCAGTATGAAGAACATGTTTCGAAAGCGTAGGGTCGCACCGAGAACCCAAGCCCACCACGCTCGACCGCGTCGTAGCAAAACAGCACGAAGGTGACATCGAAAGCGGTAGAGATGAAGCTGAGGCCAGAACCAGAGATGCAGAGGGCGCGCAGTGCGGGGAGTGCTAGGAGCTCGCGGGTACTGAGGGACTCCTTCTCCTTGTCAGAAGACTCTTGTTCCGGCTTGGAGGCAGCTGTGCTGCGTTTGCTGGGTAAAGTCTATAGAGCTCGTTAGTCACTTGTTCGCCCAAACAGAATCTGATGCTCCAATACGTACTTCCTGGAGGAAGAAATAGCCGAGGGCGATGCCGCCGAATGAGAAGCACGCGGACAGGACGCTAGGGAGGAAGTAGGGATAGGTTTGCCAAAACGAGTTTGCGAAGACCGCAGGGAAATGGATGGCTGGGTTGGAGAAGGTGCCGCCGATCAAGGGGCTATTGCCAAATGCGTCAGTATCAGCTGGAGTGGCGGGCAGTAGCGTACAAAGCACGTACCCGATGATAGACCCCAGTGGCCATGCCAAACCATAAATTGGGAAGGCGATGGCCTGGTTGGTCGCGTCGGTGAGCTCTCCAAGCGTTGAATGCATGACCGCGACGTTCCCGGAGAACAAGCCACCTGATTAGAGCATTAGTGTGGAGCCATCTGCGATGAGAAGCTCGCGGCGTACCCAGGCTCCGTGCGAACAAGACAGCCGGTAAGCTTTTTGACAGACCGAAGAGGAGAGTGCCCATCGCCATGCCGAAGGCGCCGAGGAAGATGATGGGACGACGGCCGAAGCGGTCGGACATGCGCGCCCAGAAGTATATCGTTGCGAGCTGGGCGACGGCGAAGACGCTCTCGACTAGGCCGGCGTAGAAAGGTACGCGCTCGCGCTCGAGGGCGAACGACGTAAGCATTTCGTTTATGTACGGGAAGATCTGCGTGAAGACCACGGGATCTGCGATGCGGCAGATGCAAAGCACGACGAGCTGCCTGGTGGGAACTGGTGTCATGCCGGCGGTCTTGGGCGAGTCGCTCTCGCCTTCTTCGGCTGCGACCAGAGTGTCGCGACTTGATGAGGATGGGGAGATGGCATGGGCGAGCAGCGAACTTGTCTCTGTCGGTGTTGGGGAGAGAAGGGTAGACGTTTCAGTGTCATATCCTGTTTCGTAGCCTGAGTCGGAAGACTCCAGGCGAGTGTTGAGAGGGCGACAGAGGTGCGTTGGATCGGTGTAGAGCGTGCGCTGCGACATTGGAACACAGAGGCGAGGGCAAGAACTTTGGGACTACACGGCCCGTGGGGGTGGAGGAGACGAGGACGAAACCTAGCCGGTCATCGTACGGCGGGCGAGTTTATATCAGGTTCACCGGCACTGGGCCAGACACGGAGCAGGCCCGGATGGAAAACGGTCGAAGCCTGAGCGGGACAGGTTGGCCAATTGCGCGCAGCCAACAGTTGTCAATCGTACATCCTTTACGTCTCCGCCGTGAAGAAGTTGTCAGAGGGCGTAAGGGTTCTTCGACGAGGGACTCTTCTATGATTGCTATCTACGCACTCTCGTTCAGCCCAGAGAGTAATGGGAGAAGGAGAGATGAAGTACACTCTGATGGTCTACTTCCGATTATGTCATAGCAACTTCGGCTTCGGGACTCGGACCTACAGGCGCGGAGGCACATGGCACGCCGAACGGGACCGGGCCAAGTCTAACTTACCGCGGCTTACTCCTGACCGCCATCTCTTGATATCTCATTCTGCGCACCCTCTTGTTACACTTCTCCGTCAGACATGAACATGTATTCTTCTGAAATATTGGCCGCTCCCCGTCCTGTCCGCCTCAGCGCTTTCTCGCACCACGCTTCTCCCGTTGCTTTTCGTATTACATCTCCCACCCTGACCGAGCGAAAGTCAGCATCGCCTATTGACAACCAAGATGCCGGAAGACTCTCCCCGCTCACATCTGACATCTCGAACCGCTCCCCTCGTTTGTCTCCAAGGTTAGCATGCTCCACACTAGTGTGCCCGATTCACAAAACTCAGATGTTGAACATAGGCCAAACTCGGAAGCCCTCGAGGAGTTCCTGTCAATCCTCCGCCCTGCTATTCCAGCTTTGTTCGCGCCACTGCCTCAATCTCCCGTCGCACGTGCCCGCCGCTTCCTTCAGAACAGCTTCGCTGAGCGCCAGCTTAATTACCACGACCGGTCATTAAGCCTGACTACCAGCGCCGATAACATCGTGCGCGAAGGCGCCCGCACGCCGTCCAAGTCGCCCAGTGTGCGTTCCCCGAGCTCTGTGGGCGATGAGAACGATGAGATGGCGCCTCTTCGTCTCATGTCAGCTGGCCCTCACGGTGAGATAACTTCTTCCATGGACGGTCGGCCCTATCACCGGCCGCCCGGCGGCCTTGAACCTTCGGATGGCAGACTCAGATTGCTTACCATCTCTGCTCTCTGAACAGGTTCCCCCATCTCTCGCAACCATACGCGCAACCCCTTTCAGCGTCATCCTTCATATGCGGCCGCATCTGAATCGGTTGGATCCCCCGTGCCCCGCTCGCCGTGGACCTACCCGCTTCCGTCGCCTACACCCAGCGAGCACGAAGTGGTCAACTGAGTTCATAGTTCACACCGCGGACCGAGATACCGGAAGATGACAATCACAAGCCTCAGCACACCTATACCTTCACACTCGTTTCTCCTGGCTTCTCACATACACTCTCTATACCTATTAACCTATATCATCATCTAGTCTCCCGGATCCTTTTCATCTCTCCCTAGTCAACGTCATTCACCCAATGTCTCTGCTCTGTCAATGTTTTGTATCGATCGTTGTCCTGTTCATGTACGATATCTTGTTTTGCCCATCTTCCGTCCAGTCTTGTATGACAATGCACATATCTGCCATCAATGATTCCTCCCTGCGTGAGTATTGCGGGCGCTGGTCGTCAATTAAACTCTGTATCACCGTCAGTGGCATTGGCAAGTGGCTAAGTATTGCGCCTGAGATCCCGAGAGAGATACACAGTTCCCCGCATCGCGTGCGTCGAGGAAATGCCGGTAGACACTGAACGCGGTCAGATGACTTCGGCTCCGAATGTGTCGTCCGCGCACGTACACTAGCTGGTCCTCCTATTGGTCGCGATATTGCAAACGTACGTGGTCGTAAGTTGACCAGACTTTTAAGACCGCGCGAATATTCTGGCTCAGAAACGCTGCCATAGATCTGCAGGCCGGGTACTCCGCTTTGCATGAACTTCCCTGTAGGCTGTGCGAGCTACAGTGAAGATGGCGCGAAGGTTGTGAAAGCGGGGTCGGTCGCAGCTCGACGCACAATGGCGCGTACAAGATCGCGTACTGAAGTCTCAGTGAGATAAGCGCCCCAGTGCTCTGAGTAGCGAGCAGAGAAGTGGTATTCTTGGAGTGGGGATTCCTGATAGTGCTTCCTTGCGTTTGTTCCCTGATATGCGAATTGTCAGGCGGGACAGGTATATAGGCGCGGCGACCGCGTATGACAAGGGATTTGAAGGGTCCGTCTCTGCAGCATCAGGACCTGAAAGCGAGTGCTAAGACAACTCGTAAACCCGCGCGACTGTGACATACAAAAGCAGGAAGAGGCATTTCATCAGCCCATCAATATATACACAGTAACTGGCAGATACAAAGAACGAACGGTCTTAGCGATGTATTTAGTCAAATGACTGTATCAAAAGCCTCCGAGAGGACCATGCTCATAGCCTAGCGGCCGTTGAAGGCACATCGGCATAGAGACCATCAAGCTCGCGCTTGTATAAGTTGTAGGCGTCCTTGCGCTTGATCTTGAGCGTCGGCGTGAGCGTGTTGTTCTCGACGCTGAACAAGTCCATCGTCAAATGGATCTTCTTGATCATCTCGAAGCCCTTCAATCCAGCTTTCCTCCCGATGTCGTCCAACACGCTCAACACGGCTTGATTGACGCGCGGGTCCTTGCAGAGTGCTTGTAGGCGGGCCGTGTCCGTCTCCGAAATCTTCTCGCCCGTGACCTTTGAGCAGAACGCGGCGAACTGTACAGGATCGGGAACAACGACTGCGACGAGGTAAGGTTGCAGCGAGTCCCCGTGAACGAGGAGCTGTGCGAGAAGCGGGTTTGTGATGTACACGCCCTCGATCTTCTCAAGCGCGACATACTCGCCCTGCGAAAGCTTCATGATGTTCTATGCGTCTGGTGAGCGATAATCGAGAAATGAATTGGTGACCAGGACAAACCTTGACACGATCCACGATCTTGAAACGACCATACGGGTCGAGCTCCGCAACGTCGCCCGTATGCAACCAGCCCTCCTCATCGATCGTCGACTTGGTATTCTTCTCGTCCTTGTAGTATCCGATGAAGCATACAGGACCGCGGCAGCATAGTTCACCGCGAGGATTGGGCTTGTCCTCGCTTGTGTAGTTCATGGTTGGGACGTCAATGAGCTTGAGCTCCATGACACTAAGCGGGATACCGACGCAACCCGAACTCGTGGGGTCGTCCTTCATGACGCGCGTGCACACCGCGGCAGTCTCTGTCATACCATAGCCCTCCCAAACATCGCACGCGAAGCTAATACGTAGGAAATCGATCACGTCTGGGCTGATGGGCGCGCTTCCGCTAGCGATGAGCTTGACGTTCCCACCGAGCACCGCCTGCACCTTCTTGAATACGAGGCGATCCCACAGCGGGTGAGTGCACACGCCATCGGTGCGAACGCGTGCGAGCTTCGTCTCGACAGCCCGTCGGAAGATGGCACCCTTCAATCCTGGCGCGGCACCGGCGACCATGGCGGCCTGGTATATCCTGTTGAGCACGCGGGGAACACTGGGGAAGAACATTGGCTTGAGGATCTGGCAGTCCTCGATGAGGCGCAATGGATCTCCGGTGAAGTAACCGATCTTGCCGCCAATGGCGATGGTGCATAACTCATTCAGGCGCTCGAAGATGTGCGCCAGAGGCAAATAGGAGATCAAGACCGGTTGTCCGAAGTTCTGCAATGTGAAATCGCAGAGCTGGCCCTGGACTCCAATCGCAAGGTTGCCATGTGTGAGCATCGCGCCTGAAGATAGTCAGTAGATACACCGTGATGCAAACTGGAGAAGCGTTTACCCTTCGGTGCTCCTGTTGTGCCCTGTATCGAATGTTGCATCAGCAGGGCAGAACGGCACACAAGCGAATAAGACGCACGGAGGTGTAGCAGATGCTCGCCAACTGGTCGTAGGTCGGGCGAATCACGTTGACTGGGTGCGCCACACCAAACTCAATGACTGCACAACAGTAAGCGCCTTTCAATGCTTCCATGCTGAAATGGACTCGCCTTCTTTCAGAGTCTTGATCTTGATGTTGTGCTGGCCGGCCCAGGCCGTCAGAATGCGCTTCATCTCAGGCTCCAGGTCGTCGATGGACACAATCATCTTCACTTGCGGCGTCTTCGGTGCAAGTTTGATGAGTTCTGCAATGTGATTCACCGTTGCAAAAATGACGGTGAGGCCGGAGTGGTTGATGCTATGCAGTTGCTGACCGTGAGCTCCTGCACAGTAAATATAGAATCACATGCCCTACATGTATTCTGCAAACGGAGGGACGATTTAGGGACAAGTCGAACCAAAGCAAGAGAATCAAACTCAACACGTACCGACAGAGTCCTTCCCTAGAGTATCATACAAGCTGACGCCAACTTTCTGGTATGCGTGCAGTGCAAGGTCGATGAGTTGCCATTCTTGGATAGAGAGTTGGGTGTCAGTGCGTGCGCCTCACCACTTGCATGGATCGACGCACCTGGGCGATTAATGCTCCAAATGCCGACGGTTTCCAACTCGGTGCCACCCAAAGTTCCATCCTTGAACCAGGCGTATAGCGCGCTTCCCACGGCACGTCGTTTGACATCAACCTGCGCATACGTGTCCCAGACATAGTGATCCGCGAATTTTAGAGGGTTCGCGGAGACTTGCGGACGGTATCCGAGTAGGTTCGATTCGGGGTTAATGCCCAAACCGGTCTCGAAGATGTCGACCAGGTCCTTCAACGCATTGGGGTACGAGTAATCAATCATGCCAAAGAGTTCTGCGCATGACAGGTTGGTAGAGTCCGATACCGCTCGAGTCGGAGTTACGTACCATTGCGGTAGTGCGCTGTAGAGTACGGCTCAGGTCAGTACGCCGGTGCGGGGATGTGGGGTTGCTTAAACTCCGCACCAGTCTGGCCAGGCCGTTTGGTGCCGGGTACAGCTACGGATTGTAGCTTATAATTAGCCGGTCGTGTCGACTTGAGGATTCTGTCGTCGGGGGAAGGCATTGTGCGACGTGGTGGTTCAAGACAAGCAAGAGTGTGGGGGAATGGGGCTTGTACAAGCGGGCCAACAGCCGCAGGGCCTCAGGAACAGACACCGCGGCGCTTCCGGCGACGTGAACAATCACACGCATGAGTCGCCACATGCTTATCAGGCGGTCTTTTGTCATTGGGTACGCCTGGCACAGCAGGAGGCAAAGCAAGGGAGAAGACGAAGGTGGATGTCATAATGGAACCCAACGACAACCTGTAGAAGTACAAGCGTATCTCCGGTCCGCAGCTGCGCCGTAGGCGCCATCATACAAGGACAGCCGATCTGACGGAAACGATGCGCATGATTCATATACAAAAATATACAGGTGAACGCGGTGTAGGGCGATGGTACAAATCCGAGTCTGAGATCAGCCCCCGGTGAGGGCGGTACGATACGTTATGCTACACGAGAGGTTCGAGCTTCAGTATTCATGTTCGAGTGCTCAGGCTGCTTAGGGAGCGTGCAAGACGATCTGTAGGTCATGTCAGCGCAGAACGGTGTGCTTGACGCAAGGCAACCGACCTTCATGAAGTCTTCGTAGTTCACAGTTACCCATCCGTCCCGGTCCGTGTCTTGGCGTTGGAAGGCCTCCGTGAGCGTCTTCACAGCAACGCAAGCGCGGACGAAGCGGTCAAAGGTGATACCGGGCGGCGGTCCGTACCCCGACGAAGGGCCAGCGGCTAACGCAGAGTATCAGTAAGGAACTTGCCAGATCACTCAGTGCCTCTCACCGTATTTTTGCTCAATCAGCGTCAATATACTAGGCGAAAGGTTGTAGCCAAAGCTACGCAGGGCCTCCGCCAACTCCACCCCGTCAATAGAACCAGAGCGATCCCTGTCGAAGTGTCGGAAGACATTTTGCCAGTCGGAAATGTACTTCCACAGGCCAGAGAACTCTGTTAAACGACAGATCAGAATCGCACACCTGGGCCGTATAACGCCGACAAGCGCCAGCGCTTACCGTTGAAACCGATGCTCCCACCTGAGAAATGTCAGCCAATTTCCCAAGATAGAAGCAGATCACTACACACTCCTGTCAGTGTCCTATCGCGCCCATCTCCGAGTCAGCCCTGTGTGAATATACGGGAAGGGAGTTACGCACAAAGATCTGGAAAGGAGGTCAGTTCCATTGTACAGCCTACCGGCACAGGATACGCACGTTCATGAGCATCTTGACGGTATCGAGGTCGAACTCTGTCACCAAAGTCAGAAAGAAGCAGCACTGCCGGTGGCGATCATGACGCACTTGACCAGTTGCCTGTACTAGTATGAATAGATGACGGAGTTCATACTGACGAGAGCACATACCGTTCACCAGAGCGCTCTGCAGTTCGTTTACCGATATGGCACCGGAGCGATCGGCATCTACGGCGTTGAACCACTGCCAAAGCTGAGGATCGGCCCCAGGAGGAGGGCCATGATATTGTTGTTGCTGGTATGGCGCGCCGTACCCTGGCGCCTGCTGGCCGTAGCCACCCGGAGCAGGCGTCGAACGCGAATAACGCGAGGAACTGCTATGCGAGTGATGAAGTCCAGGAGACGGTGCGTAGGAGTTGTACATGACGGTCAGAGGAGAGCGTGAGTAGATGGACTCGGAAGACGGAGCACGGGTGGTTGAGCGCTCGGCGAACGCGCTGACGATGTCCTTATCAGGCCGACCGATGAGATCACAAGATCCCGGCGGAAGGATTCAACAAAGCACAGGCTCTGAGGCTCACACAGCCCATGGACGCTCAGATGGAAAGGCTAACACAGCACAGCGCATCGCATAGGTAAAGGCAAATATGGTAGGTTCAGAGCAACGAGGCTCGCCACCTTGGTGCCTTTTTGTTAGACACGTGTCCGGAGACGCCGGTCTTCGGCTAGGAAGTCGCCGACTACCCCGCATTGTTCCTGCCATCAAACCGGGCTTCAGTCGAGTTCCGGAGGACGACCACTAACTTGCACATTTCTACCGTCTTCATTTCCACATACGATGCCGGACAGCTCTATAAAGGCTGTAATCTTTGATGTGAGTGACTTTCTGGAACGTGAACTGCACACTGGTGGGTGCTGTGACGATATTCCAGCTGTGGCAGCTTCGTTCACAGCCTCGCGCTTCCAGCTCTTCGCACTCGTCTCCGAATATACATTTCACTGACATTTGACGTGCGTTCCTCTTAGATTGGGGGTGTGGTCACCAAGAGCCCGCTCATCGCCATAGCCGAATATGAGCGCGAGCATGGCATTCCGCATAACTATATCAACAATGCGATGTGAACTTCCCACGTGAACGTACTCGTTTCGCACTCTACTAAGGCTGTGACTGTAGTGTACGCAGAGGCGGCCAAGGAGCTTGGCAGAAGTTTGAGCGCGGTGAAATGCCGTTGCTAACGTTCTATCACGCTTTTGGCGAGGAGCTGAGCGACGCCAAAGCGAATAACCTCTACTACGCTGAATACTGTCGCAAGAGGGCCCTGAGTGAGTGTCACTTAAGCGCTCGCCTTCGCAATCATTGATAGCGGTACTTGACATGCGATCACTATCTGACGCTGCTTCTTCCTTCCAGGCTGTCCAGAGCTACCTCGCATTTTGAACATTGACGGCCGGGACGTGAGCTGTGCTTGACCTGCCTAATTGGCGACGGTGTCGTGTGGGTAGCTGACAGCAAACGTTGTTAGCTCTTCGCGCGCATGATGAGGACAGGCGCCGAGCTTGACGAGCTTGTCGTCTCGGCCGTTCAAAAAATCCGGGGTGCGTAGAGAACATTACTTGCCTGTACTACCGCGGACTAGAACTAAGTGGGAAAATCAGCGACGAGACGATGGCGCGTGTTCGCCCTCACGAATAACTATTCCAAGGCGCCATCAGCATTGAACGATCTTGATACAGACCTTGCGAAGAGATATCCTGGAATCACGATGGAAAGCGAGATGAAGTTTCTCGGCTGGGATGAGGGCGCAGTGCCAGCCAAACTTAGGGCAATGTTCGACGACTTCGTCGACTCTAGCGAGGTCGGAATGAGGTGCGTGCATATTCATCTCCACCGGACGCCAACCATGCCGGCGGAGTCTCAAGACCAACTGTGCGATCCTCATGCCACGGTACAGGAAGCCCGAACCGGCATTTTACTTGCTCGCATGCAAGCGTAACGGCATCGAGCCGCAAGATGCCGTCTTTCTGGACGATCTTGGTTTGTGAGTGACAGCTTATCGTGCTTCATGCGACGGCTCAAGGCAAACGGAGCGCAGGAACTGCAAGGCCGCTAGTCAACTCGGCATGCGTGCCATCCAGGTGCGGATCGGCGAGTCTCGTCAGGCACTTCAAGAATTGGAGAGCCTTCTGGGCTTACCACTCCTTGACGAGACGGAGAAGAAAGCCAAGCTGTAGCCTATTAAGCTTTGGGGTCAACGCTTCCCACGTCAGACTGGCGATTCGCTACGGGCAGCGTCATAGCCGGCATGTGATGCCCAACGTATAAGAACTATGTTTGTTCGCTGTCTAGAAAGTACCGGGAAATATGAATGCACCGGAGTACACGTCTAGGTCCGTGAAAGGCGTAGGCCGACGGCAATTAGAAAGGCTTGTCCGACTCCGGCGTGGTATCGATAAAGTACGCGTTGACCTGGAGCAAATATGAGCGAGCCGAACGGAAGCGACGGACTCGCATACGCACCACAGGAATCTTGACCAGTAATGTACGCTTGATCTTGGGAGTCACTGACAGGATCTAGTGAACGGCATAAAGGGTTGTTCGGCCAGGAGGAGAGCGCGATACGCACGAAGAGAGCCGCTGTACCCGCGCCAACACCCCATAGAGCCAGTGACGGAGACCATTGCTTTACGCCCTACACAAAAGAAGTTCGTTTAGCACAAGAATACGAACGATGTTTAGCACGCGCGCGTGGTAGAATAGTGGTAGCGCGCCACAGGCGTATATTGAACCAAACATACATTGAGCGTGAATGCGCCGAGGCGGCGAGTGTTGGGCGTAGCAAAGACGCGGCTTGTGTTGGCCATTGCGGTATAGACAGTGGAGGAATAGAGCAAGTCTGGTTGGCAGGCGTTGTTCAAGCCCGCGGTCCGCGTTCCGTCGTGTGCCGCCCGGTGGCTGCCGATGCGCCGCACATGGCATTGAGTCGCAATTTTCCCGAGTCTTTGCCTCCTGTACTCAACCCTCACGCGGGCCTAGGCGCATACTCTACGAAGACTTTAATCAGTTGCTGGGTTGTTTGTATCTTCTGCTCTGGGATAATCTAACTGCAAGTCCGCCTTTAATCCAAAGCTTGACTAAACCTGTCAACCTCGATTACGGTAAAATTGTATCATGGCGAATCCTAGGCAGCGCAGGAAGGCTCGTTCTGGCTCTCATACGTCTGTGTCGCATTCGAAACGAGCCAAGACGTTGCACCTGAAAAAGCAACCAGGTAGGCGACGTATGCTTAGTGGAGCTCGTATCTTGGTATGAACATGTCTTCCCGTACAGCTATCCGCGGGCCGAAAGTACTACAAGAAGCCTGGGACAAAAAGAAGACAGTACGTCAAAAGTGAGCATTCAAACGAATAAGGAATATTCTTGCATGTTCTCAAAGCTTACACGGTGTTGCGCAGCTATGCCGCCCTGGGCCTTTCCGCATCCCTCAATCCTCGGTCAGCCGGTGGTACAGAGGGCGCAAAGGGCAAGGCATTGGCCGATGCGGAGCTCATCACACGTCAAAGAGAGCCGTCAGGATCTCAAAACCGCTCAGATGAAGTGACTCAGATAGTCCCCAAGGGCTTTGGTCGCATCGTTCGAGACGAAGACGGCAATGTCGTCGACGTGGTGATGGATGAAGAGGAAGAGGAAGAGAACGACGATGTATCTGCAGACGATCGTGGAGGACTGGTCGAGGATAAGGCCTCAGTGATTGCGCCTGAAGCTGCGAGCTGGGTAACCGGCGTGCAACAACATCCGGATGCACGAACAGATGTTGTAGAAGGTAAGCAAAGTCTCTGATCTTCGCTTCTTGCGAGCTCGTGCTGATCCTTCCATGACAACTGTCCACTACTATCTAGCTCTGGAAGCTTCCGCTGCGATGGCAAAACCGGTGCCACGAGGGACTTCCAAGGGTGAGCGCGGTTACCTCGAGCGCCTCGTTGAGAAGTACGGCAAAAATGTGGACGCCATGGCCCGCGATCGCAAGTTGAACACAAATCAGCACACGGCCGGAGAGTTGTCTCGCGCAATTCGGAAGGCGGGCGGTTTCGCGACCCTCGGCTCGGGATAGAGCACCGCAGCGTCCGAGCCTACGCTGGCGACGAAAAGGGTGTCATTAAACGCCACCCATTTCTCGCAAGGGCGGATTGTAGCCAATCTTTGATGGCGTGTTAGCACATGTCCCCCGGCCTTGCTCCACGTCATACCTGTCAGTGGCCACGATGCTCACACAGGAAGGAGCAGAGATTTATGAAGCCGAGGTTGGGTTCAGTTCCCGGCGACCTGGTTTTGTTCTGAACGTGATGTGCCTACGCATACATTGTTTACGTTCTTGTGTGAAGAACGCACCATACTGGGTTTACCCACTTTCTGTGACAGGGGCCGTCGTCGGCGTCTATGAACGATCTCTCCAAGCCGATAATCTGGCGGCCTGGGCATCCTCATGCTCATTGGGAAATGGACAGCAGATCTTGTTCGATGCAAGCACGGCCGTCCTCGTCGCGCACTGCTATCTCCCGCATGCGAGCCTAGGCGCTCTGCTCAGAAGAAGCTTCCCCTTAAACGGTATAGAGATCGTGGAAGGCGACACGCTCCATGGTTGCTGACAGGCCTGCAAGCTCTCTCCTTTACCACCAGCATCGTCCGTTCAACAGCGAACTCCAGCGAACGGTTTCCATCGTTAGCGCCCGATCTTGCATCTCTGTGACAACAAATTTACCACGATCTGGGAATCTCGTCAGGCGCGCAGCGCCAAAACGACAATCCTGATTCCTGAATCGACTTTTGACATATTGCCAGCCCGTCCGTGCTATTGACTTGTGTTTCTGCGTTCTAGGAGCCGTCAACCGACGCTCGTTATATAACCCGGCTGCGCTCTGCCTGGACCGTCCCAGCTCTCCTCTCCCCGTCGACTTCTCTAGTTCGACGCGTCGTTCAAAGTTTACTTGCCTCGTGTCCATTTGCTGCCGGTGCCCGAGCGCCTTCCAACCCTATCGTTCTTCTGCACGTGCCACCGACTCATGCCGCATCGCTCGACGTCTTCCTCGTCCTCGGCAAAGGATTCGGTACTCAGCCCACCCTACTCTCCGTCTCGCCGTCCGCAAGGTCAGCCGCGCACTAGTCGCATGCAATACAGCGCGTGTGGCGCGTGCCGGATGCGCCGGTAAGTGGACCTGCGGCTGTCCTCATGTATCGCTCCGCCTGATTATGACCTCGTGTACAGGGTGCGGTGTGATCTGAAAGATCAGCCCTACAACGGAGCCGGAACACCTCAGTGCGGCAATTGCACAGAACGGGGCCTCCGCTGCGTGTATGTCGACTTCTCTCCTAGCGCGCGGTCTGTCCGATGCTGATGGCTATCCTCAGGGATGAATTCGCCGATGTCAAGGTCTGTCGCCGCACAGGCAGGCACCTTTGACCTCTTTTGTTGATGGCCGGTTGTGTTCCAGGCCGTCAAACTCCTCCGACGAGGCCGACGCTTACAGCAGGTCGAAGTCAGTCATCAATCCTTCTATTCAACCTGAGACGAGTTCCTGACGCCACATGTACAAACCTACAGCAAGTGTATGGGAAGAGTGCAGACGAGGCCGGCCTCTACGCTCTACCAAACCTCACACCCAACCTTATCCCCAAGTTGAAGCAAGAATTCTTCACTTCGAATTTCTTTCACAGGCTGTTCATCCAACGTGCGTTCACCTCTCCCGATGTCTCGATGTGTGGGGCATACATGCTTAGTACCGCTTATACCGCAGATCCTATCATCGATCCCACGGAGTTCCTCTCCAGGTATAATCCGCGCCACACTGTCCGAATTTGCAAAAGATTGACCGCCGGACAGATTCATTGAGTTTGGGAAGGGAAACACTAATGCCCTCGGTGTTGCCGGTCAGCTCATCGCCATGGTTCTCGTCATCTGGGGTGTCAGCTTCGGTGATTGCTCTTGTTGGCGTTGGTATCTCCTCGGGTACTCATGTCTACAGGTGTGAACGAATATGGCATCGAAGAAGCTAAATCGGACCCCGTGAGCGTCCGGCACCGACGCGACATCACGAACGAACTCGTTCGGGAAGTGTTACAACTCCTTGACATCCATGCGATCCTTAGGAAGCCGTCTTTTGACGGCGTACGCGCAGTCATGCTCATCCTGCCGCTTACAGAAGGTACTATTCTCCGTCGTCCTCTGCTGTCCCGATTCAGCCCCTAATTCTCACTCGCACGCAGATGTTCAGTCGCCGGTGGAGAGATTGGTACGTACCTTGACTCTTTGGGTTCCGCTCCATGCTAATCTTCAATAGGCTATGCATGAGCTAGTGGTCACACAGGTGATCACGCTCTGCAATCTGTCGTCGGTCGCGCCGGGTAGCCTCTCGCAAACCGCCGACTCTTTCGTTCGCGCCCGCATCTTCTGGTACAGCCACATCATCGAGGGTGTAACTACTGGCCTCCGCGGTGGCAGGACCGTCTTGTAGGCAATCTTCCTTTGTTGGCTCCCTCTAAGGCTTATATTCTGTCAGGACTGAGCAGGATCTTCGAGACTTCAACGAAGGCTTGCAGCTTTCTGACGCGGTATCTTCCTCGCCTTCACACACCCAGCAGCCGCTCAACTGGTGGTCTATGTTCACCGCCGCGCCTCTTCAAATTGCCAACGCGTGCCGTTGTATCCACTCGCGTATCGCGAGCCCACGATTGCGCCTAGGCAGCAGCTTGGATGATGCAGGTGTCCGCGCGGCTTGGGAGCTTCTCGATAAGAGCTGGTTGGATCTCGATCAGCTCCGGTCTCAGTCACGGCCTAGCATTCCATTCGTACACGATGAGGATATCGCGCGCTACTGCGACGGCTGGAAGATCTTCATCTTCGAGTGCCGTGAGTGACCGTCGATTCTGACTGTCCTTCTATGGCTGAATGTCATCTTACAGACTCCGTCATCCACGAAGCAATCAAGCAGCGTGGACTCGTGCACTCCTCATCTGGCTCTTTGAACGGCGATTCGTCCTCTCTTTTTGAAACATCGCTCGTTCGCTGTCACACACTCTCTCGCAAGGTTGTCGCCGTCGTCCAGCAACAGTTACACTCCAGCTCGACCTTTCTCGATTACGACTCGACGCTTGCGCGTGAGGGCATCTTTGCGGCCGGGTTCTTCCTTGCAGCGGAGGATGGGGCAGAGGAAGATGTTGGATGTTGTGTCAAAGCGCTCAAGTCCATGCGTTGGGCTTTCTGCAACGCGGAAGAACGCGTCAAAACGATCTCGATGGCTTGGGAGGCGCGCAGGTCGCGTACTCGTCAGTCTTCACCGTCGGCCTCGTCCGTCAGTTCTGACGGATCACACTCCGAGCATCACGCTCGCCCCGTTCCTTCTCCTCTCGCCATCTCTACTCAGTTTCCGGTCACATTCGGCGGAACAGAGCCCAGCACTCCATATAACGACGGCCGCCAACTCACGCCACCCGACTCCGCAAACTCCAGCGTGCATTCGTTCTTGAGCCTGCAGGAGTTCCCAAGCGCCTTCTCGGCACGGAGCTCCCCCGCATCCAGTCATCGACCATCCGTGAACTCCTCACCTGCGTCTGGCGTCAACAACGGCTTTGTTGCGCCCGCTCTTCTCCATTCAGGATACTCCCAGCGAGAAAACGGTGCCCCCAACCACATCTACGACGATCTGATCGCACCGCACAGTCTGGCGCCGCACGGCCATACCATTCAACCTATGACTTCGGGTATACACTTTCGCCCGGGTTTGCCAGCCGGTGGCGTCAATCTACACGACCTCAACACAGGTTATGCACCGGGAAGCGCAGTCCTTTTTGACCCGCGCACATACGCGTTTCCTGGCGAGTCGCAGCCCATGAACATGCAACACGCCAGCTCGGATGTGCTCGGAGCACCTTTCGATCTCATGTTCTGACCTTACACATACAACATCATTCCCGTGTTCGCTGTGCATACATCATCTCCCCAAAATATTCATCGCGATAGTGTCGCTATCTATACTTTCTTGCTGTACTCCCTTGCCTTGCTCTTCCCCGTCCTCGCATCGACTCATCATCTTCGCTTTTCGCTCTGCCCCACCTCTTGCTCGTAGCATTCGTTCTCATCACCTCGCACCAGCCCTTTGTTATCATTTGCTTGCAATCGTCTCCACCCGCACTCGCTGTTCAACGTTCAACATGTACGACTGCATACTCTTGGCATTTATAGACAGACCATCGCGCATCGCGTAGTACCATATTTCTGCAATTAAACACCTCGTGATCGATATAGCTTCAGACGGCTTGAGCCTTGACTCATGGCGCTCGTAGCCTGTACGGACGGCTACTAGTCACGGGATAGTGACTCGCCATGATTATAGATCGGTATTGGATCGGTATTCAAGTGATGAAGTCGCGGACGAAAGCCCCGAGGAGCCTGGCAGACGGCTCGGGACTTGCCGAGAGCGGCGTCATCGCTGCAGCCCCGTCCGCAGCAGCTCACCTCCGACTCCGACTCCGACACGCCACTTCCAAGCGGGACGGAGCAAGGCAAGGCTGTACTCATAACTCACATTCACTTGCCTCTCGACCACCATCACTGATCAACGTTCAACATGGATTTCTTTTTCTGTTTACCGATATTCTGTGCGTGCACCTCCCGATCCGACGGTCCGAATAAGCGCCCCTGATGCGAGCCACATTGTCGTAGTTGGCTGCCCGACCAAGATTCATCAGGACGGCGATCCTACACCTCGCGTTTGCCCGCGCTGCCATAATGGTTCGTTTTGGTCTTTGAATTGTACGTCGCAGCCACTCAAGATACGGAACACAGCGTCTGTGTTCCAAGCCAAGTCGCGTACTTGGTTCGAGCTTTGTTTCGTGCCCCTAGTTCCGATGAAGAAGAAACAACTTTGGATGTGCGGGATATGCCAATGGAATGTCCCAATGCAGCAGGGGTACGTTAGATGGAACTGACCTCTCCGGTCGAAGCTGACGAGTATGTTAGTTGGGAGCCTATGATAGCAAACCGAGGGAACCACCATCAAAGCGGATATATGCAGCAAGGCGGCTACCAGCCGTCGTACCAACATGGTCCCAAGGCCTAGGGCCCAGGGCCTAAGACTCCTTACGACGCCAGACGACTCTCTCACGCGTGCTTCTCGCTTGTAGCTCTATCTGTATTTGTACAACCATGCACCGGCTGCCGCCTCAATAATTTATGCACTGAATAGACAATACTTCCGTATCTCGTTCGGGTCTCTCAACCTGCCCGCTCTTGCACCTGGTCCGCGAAGCTTGTATCGAACGTGTGGGCGCCTCAAGGATGTCGTCCACCGCGCCCGCGCGCACGCGGCACGGTAACCGGCCTAACTTCTTCCAGTCATCTCCCGCAGTCATCTTGGCTCGCCGAGCGTCTATGTCGTGGTCAGGTGCGACTGGTTTCACAGGCGGTATCTTCGCTCTTACCACCATCATGGTCTTTAGTGCGTATTATCCTCTCACAGCTAGCGCATGGAGCTGATGTTCTGTAGTATGCCTTCCTATTCTGTGTGCGTACTATCGGCATCTACCAAGCGCGCTGCGAGCCTAAGCCCATTCATAGTTGGCTGCCAGACGAATCTTAGCCAAGAAGGCGATTCATCTCCACGTATTTGCCCGCGCTGTAATAATGGTAAGGTATCATGTGCACCATGGCTTCGAAAATCGCAGGGCTCATGGGTACAAGCCTCTGTTATACAGGCTCGTAAGCGTACTTGGGTGACTCTATGTTTTGTTCCTCTCATTCCACTCAAAGCCGGACATCATTGGCTGTGCGGTGTCTGTCGTTGGGAGGTTCCGCTTCAGCCCGGGTATGTCTCAAAGTTGAGCTTACCAGACGCATTCATGCTGATTCGAGCACGAGAAGATGGGAACCCATGTTAGTAGGCTCAGGTCATATGCAGGGCGGAGGGCAGGCGCACTTTCAACCAGGGTACCAACCGTCTTACCAAACCCCACCATCAATAGGGCAGATGCAACTTGCCTCCCACAAGTAGAACCTCGAAACCCGAAGTAGTCCACCCAGGAGGCCCAATGTGTCATATGTGTGTCGTAACTCGTTTGGGACTGGGCCCTACACATGTACATTATCAACGTCGACGAGCGTCTGGGCTCGGATCGAATCGGCTGTTCATTCACTCATATAGTGCAACCCGTGGGACTCTGAGGTTGGGTGCCAGATGTACAGTTGCCCAGAAGCTAACGGTGGTAGCATGCGTAACGTAAGAATATCAAGTCGCGTGATCGTGTTCAGTTCGCGTCGAGCACTTGCGCATTGGCTTCAGGGTTCTGACGAGACCGCCATCGCCGTTGTACCCTGTCCATCGAGCGATGTTCAAGGAAGAACTGTGTATGCTTCTGTACCACTCATACCACGGGTACTTGATGAGCCAGAAGCCCGCGCAGAGCGCCGAAGTACCGAAAACATGACTCCGATCGAGTCCTTCCGCCCGCCGGGCCACGATAAGAAAATGCCGACTCGTACCTGCTCGTCCTACAGGGCTAATCTCGACCCTCACCCTGCTCTCTCCGACCGGGTCGCTTTTTGCTGTGAACAATGACTGCAGACGAACAGACGCCTCTGTTGAGCGACAGCGCGCCACCGCGCTCGTCAGACGTCGACTCCGAGACACAGCGAGAGTTAGCTGTCAGATACCACTATGCCAGCGCTGGCATAGTGGTATCTGACATAAAGTAAACTCCGATGACCTTCATGAGGCATCAAGTTCGATCCCCCGCCGAGGCAAAAGATGGCTGCATAAGACCCACGAAGGCAGCGCAAGACCACGAGCCAAGCGAGCACAAAGGGGGATCATTATGACGTCAGCAAGATAACCACAGCGCGCTAGGCTACCGACCCCTCTAAAGAGGGCCAAAGGGGAGATCCTCCGCCTCACAATAAAGTGAAGG